ATCAGTAGTGACATGGGGCGATCCTGCCTGTGGTGGCGACAGCAGAGCTGCCCAAAACCAGCTGAAGGACGTGCAGTGTGTCCAGGCTTCCGTCAGCGCTTTTGCTGCACTTCTTGGCAACGGCTGTGTGGTGGCCTGGGGCGATGTTGATTGTGGTGGAGACAGCAGTGCCGTGCAACATCAGCTGCTGAACGTTCGTTGCATCCAGGCTTCGTCTGCTGCCTTTGCTGCGCTGCTGGAAGATGGGTCTGTGGTGACCTGGGGCAATGCTGAAAGTGGTGGCGACAGTAGCGCTGTGCAGCATCAGCTGAAACACGTGCAGCATATCCAGGCTTCTGACGCAGCCTTTGCCGGACTCCTGGACGATGGTTCAGTGGTGACCTGGGGCACTGCTGCCGGCAGCTACAAGAGCATCCTCCACGCAAGCTTGCACCACGGCTTCTGCGACACTCCGAGGTGATAAGGTTGTAGTGACTTGGGGCGAGTGCGAAATCAGCTGGCGAACCTGCATCACAAGTACAGGCTCCTTTTGAGGCTGTTGCTGCGGTCCTGGGCGGCGATGAAGAATGGCGGATCCAGGCTTCTGACGATGTCTTTGCTGCACTCCTGGCTGATGGATCTGCGGTGACCTGGGTGAGGCCGCCTCTGGTGGCGACATCCGTGCTGCGCAGCACCAGCTGAAGAGCGTGCATCACATGCTTCCTTCAATGCGATTCCATGCCTTGCTGCGCTCCTGTGATGGGTTTGTGGTGACCTGGGGCGATGTTGGCCTGCCGTGCAAAGCTGAAACACGCGCAGCATATCCAAGCTTCTGACACACCTAGTAGTAGAGTAAGTAACCTTTATCCTTTTTGGGGTAGTATAATCCCCTTATAATCCCAAAGGTTGACCTCTAATTCCCCCAGGTTGCTGGACAACTAGGCACAGCTTGGAATTCGCGTTGAACCTTCGCGGGTCCTCGCAGGAGGCGTTAGATCACCCGGAATCCACCAGGATCCTCCCCAACGACCAGCTGCAATCCGAAAAGCGCTCAGAACGTTTAGGTCTTAGGGTTTAGGGTTTAGGGTTTAGGGTTTAGGGGCCTGAACCCTCAACAGGATCCACACTTCTGGTTGTCACTCTTAGAGGGAAACCCTAAGCCCTAAACAGCACACCCCACGGAGCCTCAAACAAAAGAAGGGAGAGTGTGGGCGGGGGCGGGGAGGGGGGGGGGGGGGGGGTTCTATTTGTTCCTTCTGGGTGCTCTTTTTTGGTAATATAGCTGGCACCAATCAGAATAGAAACTGCCCAAGATACCCGTGCTAAATTGGGATGTTCCCCCTGGTACGAACAGCCCTAATTAGTTAGTAAGGATTTAAAACGAGAGCAGTATACTCCCTATTAAGAACCGTGAGTACAAGGGTGAGCACACCCGAAACCCTAAACCCTAAACCCTAAACCCGAAACCCGAAACCCGAAACCCGAACCCGAAACCCTAAACCCTAAACCCTAAACCCTAAACCCTAAACCCTAAACCCTAAACTGCCGAGAGCGCCGCTGTCCATTTGCATGGGCGCTCGAGGCTTCGACCGAGGTCCCCGACCGAGCGTCTCTACAGAACGGTGAGGGAGGGTAAAGCCTCCCGGTAGACGGGGCCTGCAGTGCCTGGCTACGCCTCAGACCTAGGGCGCTAATATGATTTGGACCCCAAACCCCGCACCATTGAGGTGTTTGGTGTTTTTTGGGGGTCCGGGGGGTACCCCCGGGGCAGTTCCGGGCCTTGAGTGGCAGAATCCAGGGACCCCCCCTCCTTCTGGGCTGGTGTAGGGGGCAATCTGCAAAAAACGTGCAGAAAAACTTTGAAACCGAACCTGCGCCCTGGGACACCCCTGGACCTCCCTGGGACCCCCCCGGGACCCCCCTGGGACCCCCCTGGGACCCCCCTGAAACCCCCTTGGACCCCCTGGCACCCTCCTGAAAAATTCCTGGGACCTTCTGGACCCCCCTCCTGGGACCCGCCTAGGACCCTGCCTGGACCTCGGGACGCCCTGACCACAGTTCCGGATTTGTGGCCAGGGCTCGGGCCTCAGAGGGCCTCTGGGGCCTGAGCTGACAGGGTCTCAGGCCCTGTTCAGACCTCCCCAATACTCTTGAAGCCTGAGATCCAGGTATTGCAAATCGACGGTTTTGGGCACCCTCCATGTTGAAAAGCAGGGGCCGGCCGAGGCCCCTGCTACCCCCGACCGTTTTTGCTGCCCTTTCAAGCCCGAAAATGTCGGTTTTTTGTATTGCAATTGACGGTTTTGGGCACCTTCCATTTTACTCCGTGAAAGCTCCAAGAAGCCTACGAGCCACTGACAGGCTCCATGAAGCTCGGGAGACCCCGCCCTGCTCTTTCTCTGCAAAAAGCAAGAAAGCCCCCCTTGAGGGGGGTTTGGGGGGTGAACCCTAAACCCTAAATGAGAATAGTTTGGGTGGTTGGGGTGGGACTACATGCTAACGCAAGCGAGCGGCCCGGGTGCTTTTAGCACCAGCGAGCTTCCCTTCTATACACCCTAAACCCTAAACCCTAAACCCTAATCCCTAAACCCCAACCCAAGACCCTCTCCGAAGCCCTCCCTCTCCCTCGCCTCGGCCAGACCCCCCCGCCATTGACCTGCGTGAGGCCTCGTGGTGTTCAGGGTTAGGGTTTAGGGTTTAGGGTTTAGGGTTTAGGGTTTAGGGTTTGAGGACTTCTGGTTTGGGGGCTTTTAGAGGTTTGGGGAGACTTCGACAGACCTTGGAAAGTAGGGGGAAAGATTCTTGAGGTAGTAGCAAAGGAACCCTCTGGAAGTACAGCCCCCAGTAGAGGTTTCCAGGTTGGACTAGGGTTTAGGGTTTAGGGGATCCTTGGCTTTTGGAGCGTTTCAAGTTGGGTGTTGCGGGCGCGTCAGATGTCGCGCGAAACGCGCGAAACCCCGAGCCCTAAACCCTCAAAAATCCCAAGACCCAAACTCTAAACCCTAAACCCACCAATGTTTCCACAGGGGGAGCCCATGGCTCAGTCCGAATCTTTACTCCCTTTCAGGTTCCAGGACGCCCAAAAGTATCCTTCTTCCTTGTTTTCTACGAACTCTCGGGCGGCCTCTATACGACTATTTGATCAAACCAAAAAGGGCACCCTTTCATTTCTAGGTTACTCCGGGGTCTAGTTAAACTCCCAACCCTACACCCTAAACCCTAAACCTAAGGGCTTTGGCAGACAAACGTTGCCTTTTTTCGTGGGATTTTAAGGGTGTGATGTACGGGGCGGAGAGGCCACTGCTTCCAAGAAGCTGGAGCTGCGGTTGAGAGTCTAGGGTTTAGGGTTTCGGGTTTCGGGTTTAGGGTTTAGGGTTTAGGGTGTAGGGAACTGTCCTACGTAAGCCCTTAGATATCCCCGTTCGGGTATTCTTCTCCTCGCCCCCCCCCCCCCCCCCCCCACCCCCCAAAAAAACCAAAACCGGGCGACCTGACTTCTGATTGTTGCACCCCAACAAGACGACCTTAGCTTCAGAGTGTTTTCAAGAAACCGAGGGGTGAAGACTCAAACCTGTAAGGTTGCACCCTTTGAGGATTCCCCGAAACACTCCTAAGGAAAGGAACCTGGGAAAGAGACCACGTGGCCTTAAGCCAAAACACTGGGGAGGCCGAAGTGATTGAGGAGCCAAGTCCAGAGGAGGACCTTTCTGAAAGAAGCGTCTGGCAGGGTTGAGAGGGTTTAGGGTCACTTGAGAGAGTCCTGAGTCCTCATTGACAAGGGTTTGGGGTGGGTGGAGGTTAAACCCTAAACCCTAAACCCTGAGCATTTTGCAAGAAAGAGGTCCTCGGATGCCTGGTGCGTACATGCCCTCCTTTCGCCCTGGGTTCCCTTGGAAGCTAAGAAGCCCACAGTCAAGCCGAAGCCAGGTGGGACGCCGCGCCGCGCACCTTGAACCTAAACCCGGTTTAGGTTTAGGGTTTAGGGTTTAGGGTTTAGGGTTTAGGGTTTAGGGTTTAGGGTTTAGGGTTTAGGGTTTAGGGTTTAAGCCTTCAACCCTGCACCTGATGACCTAAAGCCAAAGGTCATACCCTGAACACTGAACCCGAGCTTTGAGCACTTCTCAGGACGTCGTCGATCAGCCCATGGATGATGATGAAGACCAGGCTCGCGATTATGGGCTTAGTCGCTCGCATCTCGAGCAAGCTAGACGAGGATGAAATATCAAGTGTGTTTGACTTCTGCAGAGAAACTATCACTGCTGGCGATTCGATGTAATTATTCAGCAGACAAATGTTTAAAGTAGTCACATCATCAACGAACTAACTTTATTAGGCCTTAATTGAAGGCTTAGACAGTCAGTCACAGGGTATTTGCCGCAGAAAATGAAGGCTTCGCTTGTAAGACTCTCCAAGGAGAGCCTGTACGCCGAGGCTCCTTTTGTGAGTCCCCCTAAACCCTAAATCCTAAACCATGAGTCTTGGTATGCCAAACCGAATGCCCCTACCCCCTGAGGCATTTGTGGTGGCCTTGGGTGTCTTAGACTGAAAGGGGCCCTGAATTGAGGTGCTGTGAACTCGTTGTATCCTAGGATTGTTGATGGAGAATAGGCTTGGTTTTCAGGTGCATGGCAGACGTGTAGAGTGTAGATGGCGCTGGGGGACCTCCCACTATAATCCAACACCACCGAAAGCACACAAAATCGCGTGGGCGCCAAAATTCCGTCGCTGTAGCTGAGTGCCTGGGGGCCTCTGTCCTTCCCCTTTTGAGGGGAAGAAATTGAGCACCCATGGCGAGGTAAGCAAGGAGCCGATGTCATGGTGCGGTTTAAGGTTTTGGGGGTTTAGGCGCTCCTGGGCCCATGGCACTATATCCCCCTTGGGAATTATTTTTTCATTTCGTTCATATAAGACCCAAGAGGATGTTAAAAATATTATCCTTATTAAGGTTCTAAGGGGAGTATGGAGCAGGGGCCCCATACGTTAATGCGACCTTGGACCCACGAAGCTCCCCGCAACAGAAGGAGCCGATGCAGGCTGACGATGCGGATGCCTCGAAGGCCCGGGGAGGGGAAAATTTCTTGGGGTTTAGGGTTTAGGGTTTAAGGCTTAGGGCTTAGGGGAAGATTTCTTGGGGTTTCAGAGCTTCTAAGGAGGGAGGTTCCTTCCACTGGGCGTGGAGTCGGTCAGGGCTTGCAGGGTTCAGGACATCGCAGCTCGGAACAGCGATCTGTAGGATGCCACACCTATGTCGGGGTGCCTGTTGGCCCCTGCGGGGCCGAGAAAAGCGTAGCTGAAGTAGAGACACGGGATCTGGGTCAAGAGGACTTGGGCTTGGCCGCCGAGAAGATTGGTTAGGGTTTAGGGTTTAGGGTTTGGAGAAGCCTCTGACCAGGTCCAAAACCGCTTTGCCGCTTGCTGAACATCTGGGACAATCTGGGATCTTTATGGAGCTTACAACACTCCCACCCGAAAGCCACACACACACAGACACACACACACACACACACACACACACACACACACACACACACACACACACAGAGAGAGACACACAGACACACAGAGACACACAGACACACAGACACACACACACACACACAGACACGGACACAAAAAAGGAAACACGCACGGACACGCACGCACGGACACCCACGCACGGACACCCACGCACGGACACGCACGCACGCACGGACGGACGGACACGGACGCACCCACGGTTCACTGGCATGTCTGAGAGCCATCCAACACCTGCCTCCGGAGCTGAAGGTGGAGGATACCCTGAGGTATTTGAACGCCCATGGCAACCTCAACAAGGACCGCTCGGCTGTGTGGGCCAAGCTGTTAAGGCTGTTATTTGGGATTATCAGTGAACCTACTCAGAAGCACTTTCTAAGGGCCTGACAGCACAACCCGTTATATTCGGCCCTTCTGTGCAGAGGGGGCTTAGAAGGCCCTTTTCACTTAAACCCTGAAGCTCCGACGACTTGCAGGCTTTGAAAAAATCCACAGCAGGGTCGGGCGGCAGAGGCAGTTAGGTTTCTGAGTCTGCCCAGATTACTGTACAAGTAGCCATCTCTGACTGTAGCTGCCACAATCACGGTACCTGAACATCCTCCACCCAATCAAGGGTAGCTTCACCTCTTGGCCCCTAGTACAGGGCAGAGGGATACACGCCTCTTAAGGACCTGCAAGCAGATCAGCAGAATCCCCAATACCCCGAACCCGGGCCCCTTGAACCCTGACCCTAAACCCTAAACTTTAAACCCTCAACCCTAAACCCTAACCCTAAACCCTGGGGCCTCAAAAGGAGCTGGAGGTGGATTCCCTTGTGGCTCCGCTCTTGGACCTCGGTACAGACCAGGCACAGGGGTGGCGAGGGATGGTTGGAAGCTATTGGCGGTACATGCGGTGTGGGTTTAGGGGTTAAGGGTGTAGGGTAGAGGGAGGGTTCACAGGAAAGACGCTTTGCTAATGTTGTCCTTGGGTTCGGGCTTAGGATCCAGCGCCTGTCAGCACTTAGGAACGGAGTGGCGGATTTCAGGTTTCGACAGCAAAAGAGCAACCTCGAGAACTTTGCAAAACCACGCGAGTCCACACTCCTGTTCCGAGCTCTCTACCCAAACGGTTCTTAGTCGGGAAGAAGGGCCCGTAGGTCCTAAAAAACCAGAGAACGAATGAGAAAGTCAACTTCCAGGAGTAAGATAGATGGAAGCACGAAGGGGCTGGATGCAGTGTGTCCAGCCCGCCGTGGGGTTTGGGGTTTAGGGTTTGGGGTTGTAGCTTTGGGTTTAGGGGGCACTTACTGACCCGAACTCGGAATGTCTCACATGATCAAAAATGAGCACCCTCAGCAGTAAGCAACATTCTAGATGAAAACCCCAAGAAGGCTCATTAGGTAGATTAACTCGAGAAGGCGGCCCCTACTTGGGGTAAAGACCTGCCCATCTGCAATGGTAAAAGTATCTGAATGCATCGCACCGGTCCCGTGCGCCCAAGAACTACGGCATCCCACGACCCAGAGCCGTGGCCCTGCGCGCCTCACTCCCACGAAACCCTTCAAGCAAGGGGCCTCGACGGTAAGAATAAACAAATATGCAGTGTACATGATTAGTACATGCGAATGAAGGTACATACTCCTAGAAACAATGGTAGTGCATCAGTCATAGCCGGGTGCCTCGGGTTCAGGGTGTATCGGTGGCGCAGTCCAGGCGCTTGAAATCTTGTCCCACCTGGAGCAGAAGAATTCAGAAGCCCCTCCTGGCTGAAACAGTGAAGACTTCCGGGTTGGAACGTTGACTGATGGAAGGTTTGGGGTTTAGCCCTTTCCCCCTGTCCTATTGGGCACCTGTATCTCTACTACTCACTTATTGCCATCCGTCGCCTGAAGAAATCCCAAACGCCAAATGTTCGGTTCTAGGCCTTGACCCGTGCCCTTTGCCCACTAAGAATTTTGCGGCCTCCCTCAACCGCTTCCTAAGCTCCGAAGCCCCCTAAGCATGAGTCTTCGGATAGAGACTTTTGCTTGTCTTGCGATTCCACGTAAAATACAGGCCGTAGAGCTTTGCTAGAAGTATGTAAGGGGGGTGCCTGCTCGGATTCTGAGGGCCTGCATCCTTCACTTGTTTGCAAGCAGGCTTCATCGGGAAAAGTCCTATCCTAAGTACGTCATCTTGGCGTATTGTTTGGAGGTGACCCTTGAGTTTCGTCCCGCATCGCAGCCAGATGTTGTGAGTGTAGCATGTCATAACGAATGTTGTGTTAAGGTAAAGAGAAGTAGACTTCTCCAGCCTGGCACCTTGACAGGTTCTTAGTACCGTACGCACTTGCAGAAGACCCCAGTCGCTGAAGGGGCTGGAAGGTGATGCCGCCGCCCAGTGCACAGGCCACAGCATGTGAACACCCCATCTTCAAGCCATGCCAGCCTCTGTCTGCGCCAGCTGCCAGCGTGGTCCCGAATGCGGTTCCCGGCACGAAGCAAGAACAATTCTGTGTTGTGAGATCTGTAAGTGCACTATATAATATTTGCGATTGTTGCAGTCTCAATGGAACATGAAGTGGCAAAGGAGACACGATCTTGAGCTGCAACGTTTGCGGCTATGAGCTGTGCAATCTTTGCCGGAAGGGCTGTGGCCCAGGAAACGCACTTCTGCAGTGTGAGAAATGCAACAAATCAATATGTCAGGACTGCAGCGGCAAAGGCAGAGGCGGCGGCAAAGGAGACACGATCTTTGGCTGCGACATCTGCCAACTTGAGCAATGCGATCGTTGCAACGATGGCAAAGGCGATGTCAAAGCAAACCGGGTTTTGCTGTGCGATAGATGCGACATATCAATATGCAAGCGCTGCAGCGGCAAAGGAGGACGCACGATCTGGGGCTGCGACGTCTGCGACTGTCAGCTTTGCGATCGTTGCAACGACAGCAAAGCCGGTTTGACAGGAAGCGCGGTTTTGCTGTGTGATAAGTGCGACACATCAATATGTGAGCGCTGCAGCTGCAAAGCCAGAGGCGGCGGCAAAGGAAACGCGGTTTTGCCGTGTGATAACTGCCACAGATTAATCTGTGAGCGCTGCAGCGACAAAGGCAAAGGCGGCGGCAAAGGAGACACGATCTTGGGCTGCGACATCTGCGAACTTGAGCTGTGCGATTGTTGTAACAAGCGTAACGGCGGTGGGAAAGGAAACGCGGTTTTGCTGTGCGATAGATGCGACAAATCAATATGTGAGCGCTGCAGCGGCAAAGGCAGAGGCGGCGGCAAAGGAGACACGATCTTTGGCTGCGACTTGTGCCAACTTGAGCTGTGCGATCGTTGCAACGAACGCAAAGGCGGTGGCAAAAGCAACACGGTTCTGCTGTGCGATCGATGCGACAAATCAATATGTGAGCGCTGCAGCAGTAAAGGCAACGGCGGCGGCAAAGGAGACACGATCTTTGGCTGCGACTTCTGCCAACTTGAGCTGTGCGATCGTTGCAACGAACGCAAAGGCGGTGGCAAAAGCAACACGGTTCTGCTGTGCGATCGATGCGACAAATCAATATGTGAGCGCTGCAGCGGCAAAGGCAGAGGCGGCGGCAAAGGAGACACGATCTTTGGCTGCGACTTGTGCCAACTTGAGCTGTGCGATCGTTGCAACGAACGCAAAGGCGGTGGCAAAAGCAACACGGTTCTGCTGTGCGATCGATGCGACAAATCAATATGTGAGCGCTGCAGCAGTAAAGGCAACGGCGGCGGCAAAGGAGACACGATCTTTGGCTGCGACTTCTGCCAACTTGAGCTGTGCGATCGTTGCAACGAACGCAAAGGCGGTGGCAAAAGCAACACGGTTCTGCTGTGCGATCGATGCGACAAATCAATATGTGAGCGCTGCAGCGGCAAAGGCAGAGGCGGCGGCAAAGGAGACACGATCTTGGGCTGCGACGTTTGCGACCGTGAGCTTTGCGATCGTTGCAGCATAGATGAGTTCGACACAGCCAAGGGCGGTGGCAAAGGAAACGCGGTTTTGCTGTGTGAAAACTGTGACAAAACAATATGCGCGCTCTGCAGCGGCAAAGGCAGAGACCGTCGCAACATGATCTCGGATTGCCACGTCTGTGGCCGTGAGCTTTGCGGTCGTTGCATCGAGGCCAAGAGCGGTGGGAAAAGGTTCCAGTTCTTGCAGTGTGATGTTTGTGAGAAATCCGTTTGTGAGCGCTGCTGTAGAGGCAACTGCAAAGGAGACACGATCTTGGGTTGCGACGTCTGCGAACGTGAGTTGTGCGATTGGTGTAACAGGTGGAAGGGCGGTGGTAAAGGAAACGCGGTTTTGCTGTGCGATAGATGCGACAAATCAATATGTGAGCGCTGCAGCGGTAAAGGCAAAGGTGGTGGCAAAGGAGACACAGTCCACTCTTGCGAGCATTGCGAGAAGAGTTTTTGCGATGAGTGCGGCATCCGCCAACGCGGCGCCATTTGGATTTGTGTCGACTGCGACTACGATGATAGTGATAGTGAGTACTACGGCGAGTACGATGTCTACGACTACAATGATTGCTTTGAGGAGGACATGCGATGGGATGAGTTGTGCCACAGGCCCTTCGCCGATCCCGGAGAGTTGTTGCGGTCGGAGTCAGAGGCAGAAGTGGCCGAGGAGTTGGGACACGACCATGCCTGGAACACGCCAAACTCAAACCATCCAAATCTTGAATCGTACTTGCAGAAGTCACAATGACAGGGTGTCGTCATCGAACCAGTAGTGGTGGTGCTGTTGCTGGTGCTGGCGGTACGACCCCTACCACCAAGTCTAAGATCAACCCCCCTGCCAACATAAGGAAACAATAGACCCCTCAAGCTCAAGTCCAAGCCCCCCGCCAAAAGCAAATTGAGCCCCTCCCCCTGAGAATGCATCGTTAAGACTTTGAGAAGCACCCCGGCTCTCCCCGTCAAAACCCCACGACCCTACACACTAAACCCTAAACCGCATCCATGATCCTCCAAGTCTGCGCCCGAGTCCAATCCCTGCCCCATCCCCAAATCTAACCCCTACACCCCTTCCCCCTTCTCCAAAACCCTATCTGTCAAGATATCTCGGACATCTCTGCTTATGCGATTCCCTCGCGTCGCCCCCCCGCTCCGCCTCTTCCCACTGATGTTGATCACCAGTTTTGTTTGTCCCCAGGCTCTTTCCAAACAAAGCCGTCCCGGGGTCCTTCCAAATGTTGCAAATTCTGAGCATCCATGTGGGTTCTTCTCCAGCAACTGCTGGAGACGGATAGATGTTTGCCTTGCCTTCGCTTCAGCCATACCTCCGCTCGACACCTCACGGCACTCAAACGTTCTGAACCTGGTGCTCATCGTCCCTAAACCCTGAACCCTATAAACCCTAAACCCTAAACCCGCATCACATCCTGAATCTGGTCGCGTTGAAGCCCAGAGGACGCGTGGGAGGCTGCGGCTGCTGGGTCGGCTGAGACGCCCGTAGAGACCGCGCCGCGGGAGCAGTTGGGACCCCGGATGCTGAGTTGTTGCTTTCGGACTTCGGATTTTAGGGTTGAGTGTTTACAGTTTTAGGGCTTCAGGGTTGAGGGTTTAGGGCGCGTGGGCGATTTGAGGAAACTCCAGGGTTTCTCCGGGGCTGCGCGCATCGCAGTGTGCCCGGATCTTAATATTTTTGGTCATGTCATGCAAAGCATTTGGTTTTCCTTCGATGTCGTTTTTGTGTAGGCACAAGAACCTGAACCCTTTTACCTTAGAAATGAGGGCCATGTCAGATCCTGGCTGTGTTGCTGTCCGGTTTCTTCGGGCTCTTATTTACTGGCGAGTCCACTTCACAGTGCTTTAAAAAGTCTCGTGCCAACTTCAAGTAGTGCTTGAAGCTCCACAGAGACTCGAAGGGATAGTAGTAAACGGCGCTTTTGGCAACGATGCATGGAGCCTAAGGTCCTTGCCAGAGCTCCAGGACGAGGTACCCGTGCCATGCGTTCGGGGAAGGAAGGTTTAGGGTTCAGGGTTCAGGGTTCAGGGTTTAGAAGCTTGGAGATCGCACATCATGCTGCAGACAATGTTGGGCTTAGCCAATGCTTTCTTGAGTAGAGGGGCGTCATTTACACGCATCCACATTCCATCGTCCCTCCTGTTCATTTGCACACATGTGTGGACCCGAGACCGAGGTCTCTGCCCTTTTTCTCGCGGAGCTGAGATTTCCAACTCCATCCCTGACCTAAGCATCACGATATCGAAACCTGGACCTATGCATTCCGGAGATTAGGTGTCACAGCTTGTTTTCTTCAAAAGCCAAACAAAAAGGTCCCTGGTTATGGGGCCGCGGCCGAGCCAACAGCAGGAGCCTCGGCACCAGCGGCAGCGGAGGAGGCCGCTTGGTCCCAGAAAGCATTGCTTGAGCGGAAGGCATTGGCATCTGGGAGTTCTACCTTGCAGGTTCGTGGGGCTATGGTAACTAGACTTCTTAACCCTGTTTAGGGTACTTATAACCATCATATACTGCCCATGAAACTCCAAGTACCTTGTATATTGCCGGTTTGATAGTTGGGACATTGTCCGCCAAAGCCCCCAAACCAGCTTGCAATGCGATTTTGCCCCGGCATGGCACTACATATATATGCATATTTAAACTTGTTCGATGCGCACCCTTCCCCAACTCCGGACACTGCTTCCGAGGATCCTGCAGAGGCACAAGCTTCTGCAAGCCTTTCTCGCCTCATCGAAGTTCTCCCAAAGGCCGGCGAGTTGAACTCGTTTCTCGCTGATGATCTCGGGAAGCTTGAGCCGGGGACGGAAGCAGATGTCCCGGTTCAAGCATTGCGCTGGACGCACGATGGCATCAATGCCCAGCTTGCATTTGGAGATGACCACGAGCACGCGGATGAGTCGATCTTCAAAATGTTTGAGCAGCTCTTCCGGGGCAGGCTTACACCCCTAGACATCACGAAGGAAGATCCCCTTCCGGCATTTTTACATCAAGGCCCTGACGGTCATCTGGGTCTGTACTCACGCCGAAACCGCCGACTGACAGCTTTCCTCATGTATCAAGCGCTGCGCCGGGACGAGTTGCTGATGGTGCGTGTCCTTGTTTGTTCTCCAGATGCTTAGGGATACTTGGGAATAATGTTTAGTTTGTGTGCACTTTTACTTCCGAAAAGAAACAGCTAGAAATAGGAGCTTTTGCTAGGGTTCCAAGTTCAGTGTAGGATGATCCTGCATGGCGCAGAGAGTGGCAGAAGAGCTACGATGGGTCCAACGGCTTGTCCATACGGCCGCACGAAGGAAAAGGAGCTTGCCATCGCAGGTGTCCCCTTTTCCGCGGGAGCCTAGCTTTTCCATGGTGCTTTCTTTCATGTGAAATGCTTTCTTCGCTCAAGACCGTTGGGTTGCAACCTCCGTAGGTCATATTGCTTAGCGAAAATTCCCTGCGTTGCTCTACGCCAGTAAGGACCTACCACCACTTCAGCCATGTCTTGCGGCACGCCCGCAGCAGAGGGTACTCCGAGCCGGTGCAGGGTGCCCTCAACCTCCTGGCAGAGCAGCTCAGGAATCGACCCTCGGCCTACCAGAATGACGAAGAGTCCGTCACCTTTGCAAGCGTGCAGGGCGCCCTGGGCCCTCGAGAATCACGAGTCGCAGAGGGCCGTGGGAAAGGCAGACGAAGCTACCAAGGCTGGCAGAACAAAGGCCACAAGGGTGGAGGCAAAGGGCGGCGCTGATCAGAAAATTGGTACCCCTCAACCCAAGCCGCAAGCGCCCGGAATGCCTAAACCCCTCAGGCCCTTAGCCCTGCAACCGGACTCCGAAAGCCACGAAGTCCGACACGGAACCAAGGTTCGAGATCCCACCGCCTACATCCTCGCAGCCGTGCGCAAAGGCACGGGAAACCGCAGGGACGGCCCAAGCGGGCTTTGTGAGGGGTTTGGGCGCAGGGCTACAGGGCTACAGGCAGAAGGGTATCGTTGCTGCACGGCTAAGTCACACAAGCGCATCGCAATAAGCGGTTTCTTTGCCTGGAACAGCTGGCCCGGTGTTTTGCAACTCTTTTCCAGGCAGAGGCACGCCGAAGAACGCCTCGGGCCAAGCGGAAGGGACAGGGCGCAGTCGGCATTCATCACCAGTAGGGCACAGAGAGACCGCGGAACTTGAACCCTGCACAAGCACCTTCTTCAGAGATAGCAAAAGCTAGGTGCTAGCCCTCGTTGAGCAAGATCAACTGCAGCTGAGAGCTTTCTGTAGAAGTGGGCCCCTAAACTCCTGAACATGCTGTGAGCCCTGCACAAAAAGCCCTCCGCTTATCCTAAACCCCGAAAGTACGACCCAACACCCTCACGCTCAAGCGCCAGGTTCCGCCTCATACGAGCAGCAGCGCTTGATCTCTCTAGGGGTAGTTTCATGGCCCTTACTCAGGGCATATAAGGGGTACATAAGGGGTCCCCTTCCATTGCCCATTTTAAAAGACCATGTAACTACCCAAAGAACCTCAAAATAATGAGCCCCACAGCCTGCCTTTCACATCATCGCGCGCGTTTTGTGTCTGAGGCGAGGCGGCAGCCCGGGGGCAAGCAGGTGATGAAGCTTCATCTCAAGGCGAGGGAGGAGGTTTTGGAGTTTTGGGGATTTCGGACCGACTGCATCTCTGTGGTGCTTTACTGTAACGTTAGATCCTTAGCCTTTTTGGGTTTATTGGGTTTCTTAAGAAGGCAGCTAAAAATTAAATTTATAGCTACCCTGCTAAGTGCAGCTAAGGCATCGTAGCTTGTTTGAGGGCTTTAGCACGCACTGAGTTTGGCAGATTTGTCCTTAACAAGCACGTGCTCCTGCATGTCCGTCGTATGGTCGCGGCTTTCGTGAAGGGTGATGGTGCACATAGGACGAGTCCGTCATGAGGTTTCAGAGGCGTATCAGATGCGTCAGACGGAAATTTGTGGAGCTGGCAGCAGGCAAGTGTTCCTTGAACCCAAACCCTACCACTAGACCCTAACAGGCAAGCAATCCTTGCAGCGATTCTCAGCCGTTGTTCAGGTGCCAGAGCTTGGGCGTACGAAACTGATTTTGTTTCCGTATGATGTTAAACCGGCTTCTGAAGGAAATTCAAGTCACCGTAAGAAGCATACGAAGTTCTTGTCCACCGAACCCTTATGGTAACTTCATGAATTTAAGGTCCTTCACCCCAAGCCCTATACCCTAAGAACGTTCCGTCCCCTGGCCTCCTGATCCTGTCTGCTGCAGGAGAACCGAAGCAGTAGCAGTAGCAGCTTCGACCCATCGCTGGTCGAGAAGGCCTCCTGGAAGCTGGCATATAGGCGTCATGTCCCGGAGAGTGATGTTTAGGGCTTAGGGTTGAGGGTTTGGGGTTTAGGGTTTTAGGGTTTTAGGGTTTAGGGTTCGAATGCCTGTGAGAGAGAGAGAGAGAGAGGGTTTAGGGTTTAGGGTTTTAGGGTTTTAGGGTTTAGGGTTTAGGGTTTTAGGGTTTTAGGGTTTTAGGGTTTAGGGTTTAGGGCTACTCCCGGGAGTCGCGTCTCTGGAGGGGCCAACCTGACGTGATTCCCTACAAAGGGAGCCTCACAGTGTCAAGTGTTGCAATCCAAGCACCTTACTTGAGTAGTATTCCTTGAATCCGTATGTGGTTTAAGGAATCTTCTTTAATTGAGGGGTACTGGAGTTTTCGGGTGTGTCCGGACGACCCAAAGCCATGAACCCTACCCAGAAACCCCCCCGAACCACACGAAGCTAAAGCCCCGAAGCCCTCTTCGAAACCCTTTCCAAGCCCTGCAACTCCAGAAAAACCAGGCCCGAACCCCAAAGCCCTTTCCAGCGCCCCCCTGAACCCTGAACCCTGAACCCTAAACCCTAAACCCTAAACCCTAAACCCTAAACCCTAAACCCTAAACCTAAACCCCAAACCCAGAGGTCCGGAAGCGAATAGCATGGCTGAACTCCAAGGGTGGCGGCCGCCTCAGCTGACGTTAAAGGGCTCCAAGTGCATGCCCGCCCCCTCCGCTTGCTCCGCCCGCTCCGTCCCGCTCCGCCTACTCCCCCCCCCTAACCCCCCACCATTGGCCCATGGTCCCACTCGACCCCCATGGCTGCCATGGACATGCCTCATATGGCTCCTGCCCACTCGGCTTTTCAGCTGACTTTAAAGGGCCCAGTCCATGCCCGCCCTCCGCTCCGCCCCGGGGGGGGGGCGGGGGGGGCACCCAAATCGCTGCAACGAACGGCGGGCAGTCTCTCTCACACGCAACCACGAAAGTTCCTTTGCGCTTCGTTTCGTAGTCCAATGTTTGGCTTTGGGGGGGGGGGGCTTCAGGGTACTTTTAGGAGCGGCTTTAAGCGTGGGATCGTTTGGGGGTTGGGAGGGGAGATTCAGGTGTGGGGCTTTAGGTTTAGAGTCTAGGGTCAAGCACGGGCTTGTGTGGGGTTCCTTAGAGGATTTCGTAATTCAATTCAATGGGCTGGCGTCTCTTTGAGAATAGGTTCGGGCTGAGCTCCAAGTGAACCGGAGATTTCCTACGGGTCGTCAAACCCTGAATGAAGCCCCAGGTGAGGAGTCGCCTTGATGTGCGCACTGGAGCCCTGTGCTACCCTTCTTCCCCTTGTTTGGGGGGCGGGGGGAGGGGAGGAAGATGGTCAGTTCGCTCAATTATGGTTTTTTTTGGGTTACCATGATAAGGCAGCGCCTAATAATTCGGGTACCTTTGCATCATGTTGAGAACTGGACATATGGTTACCGGGCTACCAAGACTGTTGGCACGCCCCAAAAGAGGCCTCAACGACAAGCTGAGCTTCGAGGTTGCCTTTTGGCTGCCAATCGGTGCTGCGGTGAGGTTTTAGGTTTTAAGGTTTTAGGGTTTAGGGTTTAGGGTTAGGGTTTAGGGTCTAGGGTTCACGGTTTAGGGTTGAGTGTCTGCTTGCTGACCAGTCACACATATCAACTCAAACCGTTGAAATATTTAAGATTAGCTGGGTTGCAGTTGTTGTGTTTGTTTGTTATGGGTGTGATTGAATTCTAGTGCTCACTTCTCTACTTTTTGGAATTGCAATAATAATGAATTTTAGACTAGTTCTCTACTAAAACCAGCGAGTGAGTCCCATGATGCTTCAAGTATACGCCAGAGTTGAGGGCGACACGCGGCTTCCAGAAGGTTCGTGGCTTCAACCGAAAGAACTCTGAAGTCAAATCTTCTTGTAGGCGTTCCACACACACACACACGAAGCTTTCCGCAACCTTAGCATCTTATTCCACGAGATATGGGGGGTTTCCAGAATTAGGGGTACCATATGGGTTTCGGTGGACAACACTCGGGGTCGGGCCTCAGGTGCTGAAAGCCTGGAGGATCTGGGGGGGTTCAGGCCTATCTTACCTACGGTTAGGGTTCTTGGGCTTTAGGGTGCCGCGAAGTGGCGACTCTCGCCCTGCAGTCATAGGCACTGTGGTGTGGGGGTGGGCTGGGCAGAAAGGGCAGCAGTCGAGCCCCTTGTGAAAAGGGTTTAGGGTCATTGAATCCCAGCCGCTGCATCCTCATAACTTGAGAGCCGAGTAGCCCCCGCACAGTTACACCTGCAACCCTCCCACCAGAGACGAAGTGGAACGCCCCAGTGACCATACCCTCATTTTTTGGGCTTGGGCCTCCTTCTCTCCTTTTCAGTTGCAGATCAGGTGAAAATAACAGATGCCCTTTCTCTCCTGGTTTTCTGGATGATTTTTCTCGCAACCTTCAACCCTATAATCCAGTCCTCAGCCCTCGAAGTTGTTACCTTGCAGTGTGGCTGGTGGCATGTTGCCCGTATGCGGAAGAGCAGGTGTTCATTGTTTTGGGGGGGCTGGGTACATAACCAAGGAGGGGGGGTGTACTCTTGGGTCTCGTCTTTTTTCGCTCTCTCTGTGGAAGCCCACAATTGCCTATGAGGTCGGGGAGCTGCTCTTGCGGTCAGGGCCGATTGGGGAGGCCCAAGCTGGATGACTCCGGGTTTTCTACTTTACTTTTTTTGATTTTACTTATACATATATATATATATATATATACATACCTATGTATATATATATATATATATATATTGTTTTTTTGTTTTTTCTCTTCTCTTTTTTTTTTGGGGGGGGGGGGGGGGGGGGGGGGGGGCTTTAGGGGTTTTAGGGATTTAGGGTACATAATAATCTGACTCCTGGTTTTAGCGGGGTTTTGAGGGGCCTTGGGGTTTTCGGAGGTTTAGGGTTTAGGGTTTGGGCTGAAGGGTTTAGGGTTTACAAGCGCGATGAGCCACTAGACCTGATCTGTTCTGTTTACAGCAGGGTAGGGTGTAGGGGATTTAGGGTTTCAGGACTAACTGGTCAGGCTTTATGGTGGCCTTGTCGAATTCCGGGGTGCCAGAACGGACCCGTAATTGTGAGCAAGTCCCCCACGCAGCAGCTTCCGCAGATTATGAAGATCTTCAAGACCTTGGAAGAGAACGCCTCCGAGGCCGTTTAGGGTTTAGGGTTTAGGGCCGTTTAGGGTTTAGGGCCGTTTAGGGTTTAGGGTTTAGGGTTTAAGGTTTGGGGGGGGGGGGGGGGGGGGGGGGCCAAGTTGAGGGTTGAGGCTTTGAGGTCGTTTGGGAAGTGCAGGGTTTCGGGTTTAGGGTGGTGTAGGGTTTTGGGAGATTATCTCTTCAAACCCCATCACCTTCCATGTCTTCCTAAGTGGCGGGAGGAGAAAAGGGGGGGGGGGGGTTTTGAATTCGGATGCGGAGCTGTTTACGTACTTACTGAGCCAGTCGATAAACCTTAAACTTTGTGGGCTTCCTGATTTTGTAGGAATCATACAGGTTAACCTTCATAGTCCTCGGTTGTTGGAGGAGTAGGTAGGCTTTCGTTCTTAGAAAAGGAACCGACAAGGGATATCAAGAAAAAGAAAGGAAAACCAACCAACAGCCCTAAACCCTAAACCCTAAACCCTAAACCCTAAACCCTAAACCCTAAACCCTAAACCCTAAACCCTAAACCCTAAACCCTAAACCCTAAACCCTAAACCCTAAACCCTAAACCCTAAACCCTAAACCCTAAACCCTAAACCGTCCCGACTAGAGGTCCGGCACCCCAACAAATACATTGCCTCCGCTGCTCGACGCCCTAGCCTTGGCCTGCGCGACTTAGGGTTTTGGGCTCAGGGCTTTAGGGTTTGGGGTTTGGGGTTTAGGGTTTAGGGTTTAGGGTTTAGGGGTTAGGGTTTAGGGTTTAGGGTTTAGGGTTTGAGTTTAGGGTTTTGCGCCGAGGGCTTTGGGTTGAGGGTTTTGGGCTTGGGGCTTTAGTGCTTGTGGGGTTTAGGGTTTATTGGGCTTTAGTGCTTTAGCACTTTGGGGCTTGGAGTTTCTGCAAGTGATCATTCCCTTGACCCCGTATCAGGTAGGGAGTCGCAGTTCCGGGTTCCTTTTTCCCTATGAAACTAAGACCCAGAGTATATGGGCCCTGATTCCCTTTTTGGGGGTTTGGGTTCCCATATAACCCCCTTTAAAAGGGGTTTGGGTTCGCATATAACCCCCTCTAACACAAGCCCTATTCATTCCTAGTTTACTCCTGGGTCTAGCAAACCTTGGAAGTCGAGGATCCCCCACGAGAAGCTTCACCCCGAAGCACCGCATGGTTTGTGGAGAGTCTGTTTTAGGGTTTAGGGTCTAGGGTTTAGGGTTTAGGGAAGCACATCCCGGTTGAGGGAGCATTACACGGCAACGTTTGGATGTTCCCCCTTATACTAGCAGTCCTTAGTAGGAGTATGGTACCCCCTGCCTGTTAAATTATTATAATCCCATTTAAGGACTGTTAGGATAAGGGGGAACGTCCCAACAACAACCGATAGAAATAAACAATGCCCTGCTTGCGACTACACTTGTCTGGTTCTGAGTCAAGACAACGGAGCTTCCCCGTAGCCTGCGAAGATTCAACCCGTCAACCCGAAACCCCAAACCCACATACCCGGCTGTTTAGGAGGGCAAAACGTACAAGGGCTACGCTACCACCAAGAGCCAGTATGTTAGGCCCTTATGAAACCCCAAGCCCCCAAGCCCCCAAGCCCCCAAGCCCCCAAGCCCCCAACCCCAAACCCCAAACCCCAAACCCCAAACCCCAAACCCCAAACCCCAAACCCCAAACCCCAAACCCTAAACCCTAAACCCTGAACCCCCAAACCCTAAACCCTAAACCCTCAACCCTAAACCCTACAAGCCCAAGGCCTCCAAGAAGAGGGCGTGGCCCCTGAGCCCATGAGCTCGGCGAACCGGCGCATCGCGGCGAACGCACCACCCAAGGACGAGGGTTCAGGGTTCAGGGTTCAGGGTTGGGGGTTTAGGGTTTAGGGTTTAGGGTTTAGGGTTTAGGGTTTAGGGTTTAATTAGGGTTCAAGGTTCAGCGTTCAATGCTCAGGGCTCAGGGTTTAGGGTTTAGGGTGGAATGTAGTATCGGATTCAAGAGGGTAGAAGTGAGTATGTCAGAGTTGGGGGGGGGGGGGGGGGCTTAGCAAGACAGAGCTGTGTTATGGGCTTAGCGGGTTTTCAACACGGCAGGTTCAGGGTGACCAGTGGCAACAGCTGGTTTTGCGAGTACTGCTCAAGCTCGGTAGAATCAAACTTTCTTTTCCAAGTCCATCATGTGAGCATTGTGTTTTTGTAAATGTGGGGGGGGGGGGGGGGCCCGCTCCACCCCAACCCCCAGCGCGAGCATTGTGTTTGCAAATGGGGAAGCTGCGCAAGCTTGCTTCAAAGCAATGAACCTTTGATGCAGCCTGCGTTTGCAAATGCCCTGCGTTGCTTTGCGTGCAAGCTTGCTTGAAGCACATGACTCCTCACCGAACCCCTCATGCGAGTGTTGCATTGGAGGGGGGGGCGGGGGGGCACCCCTCCCCAAACCCCCCCGCTGCTGTGCGTCCAAACCCATCATGAGCATGGTGTTTGCGAATGCCCCCTGCCCCCCCCCCAACCCCCCTGGCTTTCTTATGCCACGCAAGCCTGTTTCAAAGCAAACCCAAAGAGCCCAATAGTGCTTAATTAAGGAATATACCTTAAATCATATTGAGGATCCCTATATGATTTAAGGAATATTCCTTAATTAAGCAATATTGGGCTCTTTGGGAATGAAGCTTTCCTCTCCAAACCCCAGCAGGCGCGTGCGTTTGCAAACGCGCACTTCCAGGAACACTGCAGCCGTAGCGAGGCTGTCACCCCACCCAATGCCATGTTTCGTAGCCCCCATGTGAAGTAGGGTTTCATATTACTGTTATTGGTGAGTGTATATAAGGTTCCTTTTAAAACTTGGTGAGTGTATATGCCGGGTGTCCTTTTGGGGGTACAAGAAATATAAACCCTACAATGTGACTCCACAAAGCTGCCACTGTTAGCCCAAGCGCCTGCACTTTTCACCCTAAACCCGGAAATGCACTCTCCGGTATTTAACAAGTAGAAGTCATGAAACGTGCCGAACATGGAAATCTTTACGCGGTTCCCTGCTCGCATCGTCCAGAACCGCGGGAGCCGGAAAGAAGCTTGGGGGGGAGGGGAGAAAGATGGAAGAAAAGCCTCAGGGCGGGAAGAAAGCCCAACCCTTATTCCCTAAACCCTAAACCCTAAACAACCCTAAACCCTAAACCCCCAGTACAGAAAAAAACGCGGGCGGATTTTCCCCCAGGACAGCGACTTCCGAGACGAGCCGCTGCACGAGCAGCTGCGGGCCACGAAGCCTAGGGTTTGGGGTTTTCGGGTTTGGGGTTTAAAGGGTTTGGGGTTTAGGGTTTGGGGTTTAGGGTTTGGGGTTTGGGGTTTGGGGTTTGGGGTTTGGGGGCTCAGGGTTTGGGGATTTAGGGTTTTCGGGTGAGCGTTTCGGGTTCAGCATCTCGAGTCCATGCAGTATGAAGCAGAAGCACCGATTACAACCTTAAGGGTCCAAGGCACAACCCCTAGAACAGTAGAGACTGTCCTGTGCCCCCACTACACTTGGCATTCTTCTGGCTCCTACGACTTTAACCATCTGGGTTTTTTGAAGCAACTACCATAAGGAGCCCAAAAGCTAAACTTTTAGGAGGGGTTCAGAAGTCAGCCAAGTATCCTTGAACCCTAAACCCTAAACCCTAAACCCTCAGAGGGAGAAGCCACCCCACACGTCACTCCCAGCGCTCCTTGGGGTGGAGGTTTCGTGCTGTGTGGAACTGACCTCTCTGGGCTGTTGTAGGGTTTTAGGTTTCAGGGTTCAAGGTTTTGAGGGTGCTAGGGTTTTAGGGTTTTAGGGTTTTAGGGTTTTAGGGTTTTAGGGTTTTAGGGTTTTAGGGTTTTAGGGTTTTAGGGTTTAGGGTTTAGGGTTTAGGCTTCAGGGTTTTCAGGTCCAGGGTTTAGGGTTTATCGTTTTAGGGTTTAGGGTTTAGGGTGTATAGGGCTTTGCCGATCCCCCCAAGGCCCACATCCAGTGGCTGAACAGGGAGGCGCGCGCCTCTACGTGTTCCGAAACTCTAGGAAATATTCAACATACCCCTTGGGCATCATATTTCGTAAAGGAAATTAACGGGGTATGGTAACTTCCTCCTTATATTCTCAATGTATAGGTTAATTAAGGGGTAGGGGTTTGGGATATGCTGAAAGTTCTTAGAGAAACGGGAACTGGAAGCCCTTTGGGCTTCGGTTCCCTTTCTCAGGGGCTTCGGTTCCCATATAGTAGGCCCTATTCCCTTTTCTAGGGTTTAGGGTTCCCTTATAAGGCCCTGTAAACCAAAAGGGGCACCAATGTGTCTAGAAGCTCTGAAAACCCTAACCCTGAACTTGAAGTGTTCAGCGCGGAGGTTCGAACCCATGAATAGGAGGCAGCTTTGGTTGCTGGTCACGAAGGGACGAACCTAGAGAACCGTAACTAACAGCCTTGCCCAAAAAGCAGAAGGCTTCAAACAAAAAACGCAAAGGCACCCTAAACCCCTAAACCAGACAGAGAGCGTGTGCAAAACCCGAAGCCCTAAACCCTAAACCCTTCAAGTAGCCTTTTTGTGTTTCAGACTTCGCGCCGGGTTCAATCGCATGTTCCCAAAGAGCCCAATATCCCTTAATTAAGGAATTTACCTTAAATCATATTAAGGATCCCTATATGACTTAACCTAGTAGTAGAGTAGGTAACCTTTAACAACCTTTGGGGTAGTACAATCCCCTTATAATCCACAGGTTAACCGCTTTATTTCCCCCAGGTAACTGGACAACTAAGCTTAAGGTATTTTATTGCTTAATTAAGGAGTATTGGCCTCTGTGAGGAAGGGTCTTCGGTGTTTGGGTCACAAACAACCGCGCCTGGTCGCGCTGTACTGCAGACAACCCTTCGCCTTCATCAGGGTTTAGGGTTCAGGGTTTAGGGTAGAAACCGTAAACCCTAACCCTAGACCCCAAACCCTAAGCCCTAAGCCCTAAACCCGAAGCAAGTTACACCCTGAGCTCAGCCTGGGGCCTAAAAACCCTGATGAGGGCCCCGGGGGTGCTGAGAGGTTTGTGCACCATGGGGCTTGTTTGTTCTTGCCTTTTCGGGTTTGCTGGCCAGGGTTTCAGGGTTAGGGTTTAGAGTTTAGTGTTTGGGTTCTCGCCACATTCAAAACATTCGCCCAGTCGCGGTATGCTCCTAGGTGGTTGCTGGGCATGTGCGTGGGCCACGCTTCTGCGGCTAATCAGGCTACACACACGCCTCTGCCGGATACACCCAGCTGTGAACTGGGGGCTCGCCATCTTGCACGAATGTGAGAGAGGAAAACGTCCCACCCAGCCATTTTTAGTTCAAAGAACACACAAGGGTTTTCTTTTAGGATACAGGTTTTGTGGCTCTAAGGGTAGTTCTAGGCCTCTCAAGAGCAATTGCTTGAACCCCCACAACACTTTCCAACCCCGAGAGAGCCCCCACGTGCTGGGAAGGTGCCGCTCACCGCACCCCTGGACTTCGGCCAGGCGGGGTTTGTTTTTTCTACTGTCCTTTGTCATGGTGGGGTAACATTTTACAACTTCTAAGGGTACTTAAACTCAATAAGGAATGGAATGTTAACTTTTCATACTCACCCAACCATGAAGTAGTGTTTGCTTAAGAACCACCTCAAATTTTAACAGATTCTTCCTTATATGGGCAGTATATATAGGGATTATATATATATATATATATTTGATATATATATATATATATATATATATATTTGATATATATTTGATATATATTTGATATATATTTGATATATATATATATATATATATATATATCGTGTGTTTTTTGGGAAGGGTCCTTAAGCTAGTAGTAGTTTAGGGTGTTGACAAGAGGTCCTACAGCCGCATTCTGTCGTCATTGGGTCTGAGGGCTGCGTCTTGAACACATGCTGCGAATGAATGGAGCCACACATCCCGAAGCCTGTGTTTTGGTGGGGCATGTGTCCCTTGCTTGGGCCCTTAAACAGGGACCGCTTATATACCCTTATATACCCTATGCAACCCAAGGGCCCATACATCAGAAACCTGTAAGGAGGGTAGGGGGACCCTAAGCGACTGCATGCAACTACGCTCAAACTCCAACCACAGACGCGAGGTCGCGAGCTGCTTGCTGGAACTCGACACCGGTGAAGCTGGAAGCATCCTGAGGCGGGGGGTAAGCTAGGGTTTGCTGGCTCCTCAGCCCCCCCCATCCACATCCGCGGTTGGAAGGAGTAGCTGCTCGGTCATCGCAAGCGTACGAGCCGCAGGGCCGCTAAGTCTTCCAGGGGGGGGGTTCCGAGTGTGGGGTAGGAGTTGAGGGCTTTGGGGTCTCAAAAGCAGATTGCGAAAGCGCCAGCACTTAACCTCGCTTCCGGGTAGTTGTGGAGCAGGCGCCTGGAAGAGAACGCCCGGGAGGCGCCTGTCGGGTTTTTAGGTAGGGCTCGGGGGTGCAAATCACAGGTCAAGGATTTGGGCCTTGGTCTGAGGATTGAGGGTTTGTTCAGTCCTTTGGGCGGATCCAATTTGTTGCGGTGAGAAAAGGCTTGCCGGAGTTTTTTGCAGTCTTCACGGCTTGCAAGATGCGAAGCTTCCCCGACGGGACAAGTTCCACCTGAAATTAAGGGGGGGGTGCTCCCTGAAATGTTGGAGATGGGGAAAATCCGCAAATGGCCTGGCCTCTGAAAGACGCGGAGGGGCACCAGGGAAGGCTACCTCTTCAAAGACCCAAGCATTCTCGGAGCCCAAGCCACAGGGCATGTTGGGGCAGCGTCGGCTGCATAGCGAAGGCGGGGGGGTCACAAGCACTTGAAGACTTTAAAGGGCTGTCCCTGGAAAGGCTGGCTCCAAGAGAAATGGGTTTAGTTTAGGGTTTAGGGTTGAGGGTTTAGGGTTTAGGATGACCTGCCGTGTCCCTTTTGTGCTCCTGGCGGGGCTGTGTAGCCTTGTGCTGGTGCTCTTGGTCACATGGCTCATGATCTTTGAGTATCTTGGTAGCCCAGTGGTGCCTTTTACCCTTTTATTTGTTATTGGTTCTCTTACAAAGTAACAGACCCAAGAAAGGGTGCCCTTATTATAAGATGATGGTTACTGGGCTACCAAGGTATGGCCGAGAGTGCTGCGGCTGGAAGACCTTTGGATTGCACGCCGTTTGCATGACCCTGGCATTTGGCATGCTTCTGGGACAAGGGAGTAGGCCCTTCTTTCCTTTTTTGGGGGGGGTTGGGGGGTATAGGGTTCTTGTTTTAGGGGTGGCTGGTCTGGGGGGGGCGGTTCCCGTTTATAATCCCCTTAAAGAAACAAAAATTGGGGCACCCTCTTTATTCCTAGGTCACTCCCGGGTCTACCCTAAACCCTAAACCCTTAACCCTAAACCCTAGGTTTTCTCCTCTCAGCTCCCTCACCTTCCTGCTGGAAACCTTCAGCCGGCCGACGCGCAAGCGCCTGCACGCCGCTGGCCACGGCTGCGCGGTAGCTTGGCCCTTGGGAACATGTTATAGTTTCCCTTATTGGGTTGAAGAGGTTTTCCCTTGTTGTGTTCAAGAGGAGAATATTTAGGACTCCCTAAACCCTAAACCCTAAGGAATGTTTAGGGATCTTTGTCAGAGTGTCTGAAGGGCCATCCTAGGTAGTGCTGGCCCTCATTGGCTTGGCCACCGAGTGGATCTTGCATTCAGGAGAAGGCCGCTGGGTCGGCCCTCGGGGTAATTTTATGTGTCTACTTCCCCTTATTTTGGGTTTAGGGTTGAGGGTTTAGGGTTTAGGGTTTAGGGCTAATTTAAGAATGGGTTTTTAACGGCTTTAGTGGCCATCCTAGGAGAGAGTCACCTCAACAGCGCCCACAGCTGGATTGGCCTGCTGACGGTGACCTTCTACTGCGCGCAGTGGGGCGCCGGAGGCGCCACCTTCCTACTCAACGCGCCAGCGAAGCTCAGGCAGAGGTCCCAAAAGCCTAAACCCTAAACCCTAAACCCCAAACCCCAAACCCCAAACCCTAAACCCTAAACCCTAAACCTAACCCCCAAGCCCGAACCCCTAAACGAAGCTCAGGCAGAGGTTCCTGCCCACGCACGTCTTCAGCGGCCTCTGCTTGGTCAGCTGCGGCCTGCTGCCTGGCTTGCGCTTTATGGATCTTACACGACAGGTTTAGGGTTTAGGGTTTAGGGTTTAGGGTTTAGGGTTTAGGGTTTAGGGTTTAGGGTTTAGGGTTTAGGGTTACTGGGACCCGGAGTGGACCCTTATTGCCTTTTCAGGGGGGTTCAGGGTCCCTCATAATCCCATTTAAAACAAAAAGGGTACCCTCTTTATGCCTAGGTTGCACTTGGGTCTAGATCTTACAGGACAGGAGCAGGAGAAGAGCAGCCTGGTTGCTTTTTTCTCCATACCCTGACTATGGAAGCTTCGTCTTTAACTTAGCCAATGGATGAACGTTAAGCTTGGAAGGAAGGAAGGAAGGAAGGAAGGAAGGAAGGAATCGACCAGTGGCATACGGCCACGGCCTCCCGCACTCTTCCCCGCTGAGCATCTCAGGGGGTCTCCGCAAGCGTCATCGACCCCCTCCGCCAGAGGTTCCAGAGGGGGTACTATGGGTACTAGAAAAAGGAAACAAGGAAAAACAAACCGGAATTGGTCCAAGTGGGGGGTTTGGGGAGGGGTCTGGGCAGGAAGAAGGGTTGGGCGATGAGGCGGAAGCCTGTGATACGTGGACACTCTCAACGGACTGGAGCCAGGCTGCGAGGGAGGAGGATGTGTTACGGAGTGGCAGCCGAACGCGTTGGTCGGCGGCAGAGCATGCTGTGACCAATCCGACCAACTATCGCCGATAAAACGAGAGGAGAGGCGACTGAGGGCAGGAACCAGCGCATCCAGCGACTGGCGAAGATGCACCGGGAGCACAGTGCGGGGTCAAGGGAAGGCTGGTCGATTTTCTCAGCAACCACAAAAGGCGCCAAGAAGTGTTGGCCGGCGGTGCGCGTGAGGGCATGTTGGCGACTGCGCTGCTTCCGGCAAGTCGGTGGAGAGATTGCCCCAGCCTGGAAGGGGAACGAGCCAACGCCAGGCTGGGAGCACTGGCCAACGTGACGCAGCTACTTGAGCCTGTTTGCCTTGCACCTGCAGCGGCCAAAGGCGCAGGAAATATCGGACACAGGTGCAGGGAACCCTGATGTTCGAAGGCACTGGGCGAGAGGGTGGTCTTGACACAACCTTGGACTGCAGAGAGCCACGCAAAAGACTCCCGCTGGCACACTAACCTCGGTAAAGGCATAGAGCGGGCAAGCCTCACTACAAAAAACGCAGAAGTGGCCCAGAAAGGGGGTTTGGAGGCGAGAAGGCTAGTCTGCGCCAGAAGAGGGCAGCAGGAGGGGCAGAGAAAGGGGAGGGGGGAGGACTGAGGCCTGCCAGCAAAGCGAGCTTAAAGGCTCAGTCCAAAGGCAGGGCCGAATGCCCAGAAAGTCCGAGGTGAACAGCAGCACTCACTTGAGCCAGCCAAGGCGGCGAACAAGCCTGGAGGCTACACAACCAGAAACGTTAAGCTTGTTGGACTTCCTTATCCTGCAGGAATAACTCAAGTTTTTAGCCTTTTTAATGATGGGTTATTGGATAAGTAAGCATTTTGTCCTCAATCCTTCTGCCCTCAACCCTAGGCGTACACCTAAGACCCAACCTGAACCCCCCAGTTTGAAGGGAAGTTACATGGTGCCTTTTTAAGGGGGCATAACGCAGGTTCCCCAATTAAAGGACCATGTGAACTACCCCAAAACACCCCACGGCCCTACATGCTAAGACCCTCAACCCTAAACCCCTGAAACTCAAATCTTTGTCACAGAGTAACATTTTACATGATTAAGGGCACTCAAACCCCACAAGGACAGGAGTTTGTCTTTTTAGTATTAGCCAACCCCTAAACCTCAAAACGCCTCTCAAGGCTGTCCATCATCACCGGCCTGATGTCGCACCTGCGGCGCAAGGCCCATGCTGGTGAGCTGCGCTTTGACATCTGGAACTGGGCTTCCATGGCAGCCGTGGCGGTAGCTCGTTCCGCAACGGCTTGGTGCGTTCTTTTTTTGTGTGTGTTTTTTTTTTTTTTTTTTTTACTTTGTGTTCTTGCCATTTCGTATCAGATACTCTTTGATGTCGTAGCGTTTTTGCTGACGATATCGGTGTGTAGAATTGTTCAAGCTCAAGAGTAGAAGTTCGATTCTGGGTGTCATTTTGGGCCTGAGGGTCTTTCCTAAGGTGATGGTCACCACCTATGGCGCCTTGTACACACCCTACCGAGCAGCCCCTCCCGAGAAGAAGCTGGAGACATCCTCAGACTCCGCCACGGAGTCGGAAGAAGCTCAGCACTTCTGACCCACTATTTGAGTACTATTTGCTGAAGAGCCCCCTTATAAGGAAAATATAGGGATCAGGGATCAGTACTTTTTGGTGGGGTTCTTCAGCAAATAGTAGTGATCTCGGGTCTTCCAAATGAGTTTCAGTGAGGGCGAATATACGGGCACATGTTTAGTGATGTTATCTTGCTACCTTCTCATACCCATACTACACCCGGAACCCCCAAAAAACAAAAATCAAATGTCGCTAACCCTAAACCCTAAACCCTGAACCCTGGGTTATAGATCTCTTCCTAAACCGCTAAGCTATAAGCTCTTGCCCATGCGACCCAAACTGACTTAGTAGTACCCTTAAACCCTAAACCCAAAACCCTAAACCCCAAACCCTAAACCCTAAACCCTAAACCCTAAACTCAGTGGTCAGCGGAAGCCCTGAAGTGGCCCGACGTGTAAAGCCCGGGGCTTCTCCGGCGGCCGGTCGCGCCAGAAATGTGTGTCGGAGCCCTGCAGGAACCCTTAAACCCCTGAGGGTTTAGGGTTTAGGGTTTAGGGTTTAGGGTTTAGGGTTTAGGGTTTAGGGTTTAGGGTTTAGGGTTGAAGCCCTAGGGATTAACCCTTTCAGGAAGATAAGGGGGGCCCTCTTGGAAGGCCCCCGGTGCAAGGGGGGCCAAAGGCACGACCTGTCTCGGCGCAATCTATGCAAAATCGACGTCTTGCCCAGGGTCGCGTTCTATAGGGCTTTAGGGGTAAATTTTAGGGCTTTAGGTTTAGGGTTTAGGATTTAGGGTTTACTTTAGGACTGTAGAACGTGAAAGGACTTTCGGGCACTAGGGCTTTACGGCAAAGGTTTGTTTGGTTTGTTTTTGGCTCTTTCACCGTAGCGCTCAGGGTGTTTAGGGGCTCTGTCACCAAGACACAAGCTCTAGCTGAAGGCTTCCGGAGACGTCCCAACCACGTACTGAAGCCTAGGCGCCCTGATCCCTGAAACTGGCTACCCCGAAACCCCGGAACCTTAAATCCCTACAACCTAAATCCCAAACAGCACACGCAATCACGACTGGTCCCTGCGGAGTGATCCCAGAAGGGGGTCTGCTAGGCGGGTGGCGAAAAAACATCCCAAGTTGGGGGGCTTCTTAAGCAGATAGGAGTAAACCCTTTCCAGGGGGCCCGGAGCTGCACAGACCTCTGGTAGTGGGACTCAATCAGTAAGTTGGGCACGGTGTTAGTTAGGGATTTAGGGTTTAGGGATTTAAGGTTTAGGGTTCAGGGTTTAGGGTTTAGGTGTCAAGTCCCCGCGCTAAGTGGGTCCACCGAAGCCCCGCCTCCGAACCCAGAAACCTTAGCCCTCAACCCAACCCCAAACCCGCTCCAACTTAAATCCCCGCAAGTTGCAGAAAGCCCCGAACTCCGAAAGACCCAAAGAGCCCAATACTGCTTAATTAAGGAATATTCCTTAAATCATATAGGGATCCTTAATATGATTCAAGGTATATTCCTTAATTAAGCAATATTGGGCTCTTTGGGGAGGTCCGCGACCCCAACAGCTACGTGGTCAAAGCAGCCCATGCCTTTCCTTCTTGCGGGAAGGGCGGGGGCGGAGGGGTTGGGGTTTAGGGTTGGGGGGGTTTGTCTAAGGGTAGTTTCAGGGCCCTTAATATGGTGCCTTGCCTCCTTTAAAAGGGTTCTGAGGTATAGGGTCCCTTGGGTTTCAGAGGGTATATGCGGTTTTTTTCGCGGTCCCGATTTCAGGGCCCATGCCAAGGGACCATGTAGCTACCCCATTAGAGTCTTACTTCGGAGGTGCCAGGTCCTGGGTTCTTGTGATCATGATGTAAGCTGCCTGAAAACCCCGCTCTGCAGCAGAATTCGGGGTTTAGGGTTTAGGGTTTAGGGTTTAGGGTTTAGGGTTTAGGGTTTAGGGTTCCTCAAGTATCCTACACCTGAGACCCACCCTCCCACCGCGAAACTCGGGACCGCCCCTGAATCCTGCGGCGGCTCAGTCAGCCAGGTGGGGCGGCAAACAGACAACCTTGGAACCTTAAAGCACCTTGAAAACACCACAAGGCACCTTAAACCCCTTTAGCACGAAAAACCGCCTGAAGACCTTAGAGCACCTTAAAGCACCTCACAACACCACCCAAAACACCAGGAAGCGCTTCAGAGACAGGAGCTCCCCAAGCCAAGGAGTCCAAGAACTCAACATACCCCTTGAGCATCCCCCTTAAAAGAGTTAAGGGGTACGGGAATATCCTCCCTTAGACTCCCTTATTAAGTTTCCTCTTTATAGGTTAAGGGGTCTGGGTTTGGGGTGTGGTGGATCATTCTTCGAAGGAGCCTGGGCTCCTTCTAGCCCAGCCATTTTCCTTCGGCGCTCTGACTTTTTGTAACCCTTTTGTTCAACCGTTTGGGGTTTCGGGGTTTGGGGTTGAGGGTTAAGGGCTCACGTAACCTTTTTTTAAACCGTTTAGGCTTTCGGGTTTGGGGTTGAGGGTTAGGGTTCAGGTTGTGGGTTCCAGGGCTTAGGACCCCGAGGTCAGTCGGCCCTTTGCCCTCCGGCCTCAAACCCCCTAAACTTTTATTCCCTCAAACCCCTAAACCCTCAACCCCAAACCCTAAACCCTAAAAACCACTAACACCCCAAACCCCTCAAACCCTAAACCCTCAAAGCCTGCAGCCTAAGCCCCAACCGCCTGGTGCCGTGTGGTGCTCCCTCCGAGGCAGAGCGCATGCTCGGAGGCCGCGACGGCGGCGGAAGGGGCGGCAAAGGCCAAGGAGAGGGCTTTAACTCTCTTAGCCTTTTTGGGTTTATTGGGCTTCTTAAGAAGGCAGCCAAAAATTAAATCTATAGCTACCCTGCTAAGTGCAGCTAAGTTCAGGTTTAAGGGCTGCTTCCTTAGAAGTTCCCAATTCTCAAGCACCCCCCCTCCCCCTCACCAGCCCCCCAACCTAAACCCTAAACTCGCCCCCCCCCCCCTCCAGAAAAGAAGGAAGAAGGGGCAAGCCTCGGGGAGGTGGCCAAGAAGAAGCCAACCCAATTCAGTCTGAAGCATCATTTGGGGGGTTTCCGAAAGGGGGGGGGGGGGGGGGGGGTAGGTTATATAAGGGGATCCTACCACATTGACCCCTTCTCAGTCCTCAATGGCTTTCTTACATTTCCGTGGATCGCCCTTCGGGAACCCTTAGAACCTCGAAGTTCTCTCGCCCTTTTGGGTTTAGGGTTTAGGGCTTAGGGCTTAGGGTACAAGCCTGGTCTCAGACACCTGGAAGTTCCACTCAGCCAAGCTGTCCTCAATTGAGGCTCTGGAAGCCCTGACCTTTCTTGCTGGTGCTTTGACACTTTGGCTACACTATTTGCCATCACTATTGCTTGTTGCTTATTGCTACTATGATTACGAGGTGCTATCTCTGTTACTATTCCCGTTGCTATTGCTAGCGTGCCATTGCTATTGCTAAAGCGATTGCAATGACTAGAGCTGCTACTCACCTGTCAGCGTCTAAACCCTAACCCTTAAACCCTAAACCGCAGCTCCTCCTGCTAATACCACTATCACGATGGCCACTTACTACCGCTACTAAACCTCTAGAAAGACTCGCTGTGGAGCAGGGGGCAGAGACCCTAAACCCTGCGCCCCAAAGCCTAAACCCTAAGCTGCAGTGGTGAATTGTAGCGGGAGAGGAGCCTCCGCAACCCTAAACCCAAAACCCTAAACCCTAAACCCATGCCAAAGGAGGCAGCCGGCGACAGCCGCCTCCTCCGCCGCGTTCAGTCCCGGCGCTCGGCTTTCTGGGAGGGCTCAGGGGCCTGAATAAGGGTTTGGGGTTTAGGGCTGAGGGTATTTACCAAGAATATCCCACATACCGCATACTATCGTATACTGTCAAACCAAGAGATTCTGCTGAATCAGGGCCCTGTGTAAGGTGCCTGGTGGTGGGGCCTCTATGGTTTGGGGAACTTTTTAGGGTTGCCGAGAAGTGGGTACCATGAACCTCCTGAGGACTAAAGGCTGTCCTCGTAGAAAGCCAGCAAACAGGGGTAGGCTTGAACATAATTTTCATGTTGTTCCCCTTACTCCGTTATATAGTCCTTATAAACCATAAAGCTTGATTTTCACAAGGCCCCCAAACCTGCCCCAGCAAAGCCTTGGCAGTTGACGCTTGATTTTCTGAAGCGAAAAACATCAATAGCAAAAATGAAAAAAAAGAGGTACCCAAAGAGCCCAATATTGCTTAATTAAGGACTATTCCTTAAATCATATTAAGGATCCCTATATGGTTTAAGGAATATTCCTTATTTTAAGCAATCTTGGGCTCTTTGGGTAGCAGGGAAGCCGAAGCCTTGGTACAGGGGGCCTCGATCTTGCTTGGCGGGAGGGCACGCGCGTGAGGAGCAGCGCTCGTAAAGCGATTTGCATGAATCCAAGGAGGCTTCTTAGGGTTGAGGGTCAAAGGTTTAGGGTTTAGGGTTTAGGGTTTAGGGTTTAGGGCTAGAGCTTGGGGCTTGAGTCGCTGAGGAACTCTGAGTGCATCTCAACCCAGGGGTTCAGGAATATTTCCAGAGCTTTCTGCACCCCAAGTATGCAGCCGGCCCTGAAAAGGGCTCAGAAGCCACAGGGTTTACTGAAGAGTTTAGGGTTTAGGGTTTGGGGTTTGGGGTTGAGGGTTTAGGGTTTAGGGTTTAGGGGCCTATGTTCCTGGAATGGATGTTTTGAGGATAGGTTTGTATCCGGGGCTTATAAGGGCTTGTCGCTGCTTCTTGCCACAAGCTTCAAACCTTAACCTAAACATTTCTGGGCCTACGATTGGTCGAAGAAAAGGCCGAGAGGGCTTTTGAACCCGAAGCGTTGGAAGAAGCTGTTGGATTAAACCCTAAACCCTACACTCTAACCAGGCCTGAGAGCCCAGAAAGGAACATGCTAAACCCTAAACCCTGAACCCCGGTAACATCCTACACCTTGCGCTTACGTGCGGGGGCAGCTCACGAACTCGATTTAGGGTAGACTCTGAGTGCTGGCACTGCTTCCGAGAAGGGAGTTCAGGGTGGGCTTTAGGATACCGCAGGGGCCCTGAAGTGAGAAGGCCAGGATCCAGCGCAAAAAGGGCTTGGCCCTATGCAGCGTCAGACACCAAAATACATTGGGTATTCGCAAAACCCCTCCCCCCCCCCCCCAAAAAAAAGACAATAATCCCTATTTAGTAGCCTTATAAGGCAGAATATTTGACATTGTTTGGGTGGTTCTTAAGCAAATAGTAATTCCCCCCCTTGACCCCGAAACCCTCGCTGAGGTCCCGGAGCCACCGCCGCAGGACCCTTAGCTGTGCCTTCCGAAGCCTCAACTGCCCTCCAAGCAGAACAAGCTCTTTCAACTGCGGAGCGCACACAGATGCAAATGGCTGTACACTTCTCGATCCAGGTGGGAGAACTCACCACTCTCCCATGTAGCCTCGCTTGGTTAAGCGCCTTCCCTGGTGCTACGAGAAGAAAATGCTGCGGCACATCAGTGGCGCAGACTTCTGAATGAAGTGTGATGCGGTAATGCTGTGAATTGTTTTTTACATCGATGTAAAAAACAATTCTTTGGCCTGATTTTTTCTGGTTTTGTTACTTGAGGGCTTCGGGTTTTAGGGTTTAGGGTTTAGGGCTGGCTGCAGAGACCTGGTTGAAAAAAAGGGTTTAGGGTTTTAGGGTTTAGGGTTTAGGGTGTAGGGTTCAGGGTTTAGGATTTAGGGTTTAGGTTTCAAGGGTGGGGATCCCAAGCGGGACGCAAGGTTCACGGACCCAGCCTCGCCCTTTCTGAACGAGTTTCCACAACAACTGCAAAACAAAAAAGGAGGAAAGTTCGAGAATGCGTACCAGCCCAGTCATCCGCAAGCAGAAGCGATCATCACCGCCCTTCCCGACATGGCCCAGCAGAAGACAGACGGCCCTGTGCCTTAAACCGACTTCCCTCAGCAAGTGGAACCCTTTCGCTCCCCTCGTGACATCGCCAAGGTCCCGGAATGCGAGCGCACGGGGGCCCGAGACTCTCTCAGACCTGTTGAAAAGCAGGGCTCGCTGGGGGCGAAATCGGATCTAGGGTGATCCTCTTAGGATATCTCATCTTTCCCCTCATTGGGTCTACGAGGATTTTAAGGAAGCTTCTTCAGATGGCTCTACAGGGTTAACCTGGTCATGTCTTGGGGTTCAAGTCAGACAATGAGCCTTACAAGCAGAAGAACCTCAAAGGCAAGAAATGAGGATTAGGGTTTAGGGTTTAGGGGTTAGGGTTTAGGAACCGACCTTCAACTTGCTTTTCGGGTTTCACGGATGGTAGGAAGGGGCCCTCAGTCCTCGAGACTTTGAGCACGAGGCCTACGTAGGCCTTGTGCCCAGAACCCAAAACTTCGGGTTTAGGGCTTAGGGTTTTGGGCTTAGGGTTTAGGGTTTAGGGTTTAGGGTTTAGGGTCTCCAAAATGCCCTTGCCTAACCCCCGAAGCACAGAACCTGAATTACCAAATCAACAACCTCAGACTGCGGGAGCACGCAAGACTACTATTTGCTTAAGAACCCCAGAAGAATAAAAAGAATCATAATCCCGATATTACGCGCAATAAGGAAGAATATTTTCATTTTTTGGGGGTTCTCGATCAACTAGTAGAAGAGCCTTCAGAACTGCCAAGGTTCACTAGAAGCACAACACAGAAACTTCAAGCACACCATTCTAACGAACAGGACTTTGCAGCACTTTTTGCTGCTTGGTGGCTTTCGAGAGAGCCCCCAGGCCAATCCGATGGACAAGATCGCAAAGAGGGTGGCTTGGCATCTTCGCTGCAAGGAGCAGCAATCCAGACACCCCTGGGGGATCCCAAATAGTCGCAGCCCCCAAGTAGTACCCGAACTACTATTGGCTCTTTCTCAGGAGCCCTTAAAGGGACCTGCTGTTTGGATCCTTCCAGAGGTCTGGGGAGACTAGGTAGCCCCCTTGGGATATTTTTACATTTCCCCTTATGGGGTTTAAGAGGATCATGTCCCTAAACCCTTAACCCGACATTTAGTAATGTCCTGGTGTTTCCCTTATTGGGTTTGAGAGATCACATCCCTAAACCCTTCACCCTACATTTAATGCCGTTCTGGTGTTTTCCCCTACGGGGTTAAAGAGGATCATATTGGGGAATCTTGTTCAGAGGGTTTTAAGGGGCCGTCCGCTAGCAGAGTCTGCAAAAGCCGTCTTGAGGCGTCTTAGGGCGCAGGACTTTTGGGGCCTAAGGGTCTCGGCTTCATAGGGTTAAGGGTTTAGGGTAACTGGGAACAGAGATTAGGACTTTTTTGGATGAAGGGGGGGGGGGGGGGGGGGGGGGGGGTGTCGGAAACCCTAAACCCTTAACCCTTAAAGGCTTAAAGGGATCTACTTTGGTTTTCCCTTCAAAAAAAGGCTGAACCAGCACACGCAGCTCGTGACGCCCTTGGACTACGCCTGGCTCCCAGAGCGTTCTCTTTTGCACGGAGGACTTCGTGATTCTTGTGTTTAGGGCTTAGGGCTGACGGCTTACGGCCTAGGCTGGCGGGTTCAGATTCAGGGTTTAGGGTTTAGGGTTTAGGGTTTAGGGTTTCTTATACGGTTTGAGGTTGTTGAACTAGGCAGGTTTGGACAGTTTTGAGGGGACTGCCGAGTGCCGATACTCGGGCTTGCGTCCGTTTTAATCCCCAAACCCTAGACCGGAGCTGCGGCGACTCGAGACGTGGGGCCGGCAGACTTGCTTCTTCATCCCAGTAATTCCTAGGGTCCCCTTCTTCTCCATTTTTTTGAGTGTTTAGGTTCCCTCATGAGCCCCTTTAAAACCACAACGGGCACCCTTTTGATTCCTAGGGTACTCTTGGGTAAAGAACACGGGGTAATTCTGTTTATTCCTAGGCTACTCTGCGGTCTAGATTCTAAACAAAGTTCCCGTCATCTTCGGCTTCAACTTCTTTTGGAGCACGACAAGCCTTTGGTTGCGTGGTAGTAGGGAGGTCGGGCAGTCAAATCCCTCTATGCAGCGCATGAACGGGATCCCATACGGAACGCAGCTCTCTGAAACACCTGCACCCCTAATCACAACCTCATAAGTCCGAATATAGGGGTCGGAAGACATAGCTAATAGTATTCCCTTCTGGTCTTTATCAATATACTATAATAACCCCCAAGACCCTATTCTAATCATGAAGGCCCAACCCTAGACCCTAAACCCCGCCCCTACAACTCGATCAGTGTTTGGGATCCTTTTTACTTTTTGGGTTATGGGCTTTCTTATATATGAACAAAAAGGATCCTTTTTTCTTCCTAGGGGAACAGGGATTAAGACAAGGGTTTCCAAAGCCCAAGGGTTCTCCCAATTTTTTCGTCCGCTAGCGAGCTCGGGGTCCGGCGCTGGGGCTTGGTGCTGCGGGGCTGGTTTGGGATCAAGTAGGGTTTAGGGTTTAGGGTTTAGGGTTTAGGGTTTAGGGTTAAGCGTGGGCCCACGGCTAGTTGCCTTCCAGAAGCATTCCTTTTGGCATCAAGTTGCTTCTTTCGTGGTCGTCGGGCATCAGGCTCATGCGTTCACATCGGCTGTTTGAGACGCTGAGTTTCTGTTCACCAAGAAAAGCAGGAATAGGATTAGTTAGCCCCAAAGAATTTCCAAATCAATGACTAGAGTTTATGACTCGTACCAGGTCCTGATTGTCGGGGCCGGGGAAACAAAGCCCTTTGGATCAACGCTGAACCCTAAATCTTACACCCCAAGCCTGATTAGCAAGACGAGAAGTGTACCCCCCAAACCCTGAACCCTAAACCCTGAACCCTGAACCCTGAACCCTGAACCCTAACCCAAAAACTACTCATTAGGGCAGTAGGGTCCAGGAGCCATGCCAGACATCCCACAATCCGCTCCCTGCTGCCGGCGCGGGCAAAGCCCTGTAGGATGTTGCCGCTTCCTTGGAGGCCGGAGTTTAGCGAGGATGCCCAGTAGGTACGCGAATTCCCTTTTTTGTGGTGGGGCTTAGGTGCCCTTATCAACACCTCTTTAAGGAAAGAAAGGGCACCCCCCCTTTGTTCGTCCTATGTTCCCGGACAACCTAGTGTTTATGGATATGTGGAAATATTTTTGGTTTTGGGGTATTTTAATTCCTCAGTAAAAGCTAAAATTATAAGTTTGCTAGGGTTCCAAGTTCAATATCCCCGGGCCCTGTACAGTGGGGAACGATGGGGGTTTAGGGTCTAGAGTCTAGGGTTGAGGGTGCTCGCAAGTCGGGATCTCGTTGCACGCTATCTGAAGCGCAAGGTACCGGGACGCGGGTTTGGCCCCTCTGGTCGTCTAGCCGACGACTCATCTTTGCTGGGTACAGTGGGTTTTGCGGCGGAGACGCTCCAAGCTGAGCAAGTGGGCCCTTCACCAAGACAGTATTGACACATGTGGGCACGCTCCCCAAGCGAAAAGGAGGCTCCCTCGTAGCAGCTTGCTGTTAGAGGAGAGCCCTTTAGGGTCTTCTACAGTGCACATGTATCCCTGAATCTAGGTGAGACAACTTGTGCCCTAAGCCCTAAACCCCAAACCCTAAACCCTAGCCCTAAACCCTAAACCCCATCTTAACAACGCGCCCTCCGCGCAGGGGGCGTCTTGCACTCGCGCTCGTGGAGGCGGAACTCCTGGGGTGCCAGTTGAAGACCTCAAGAGCTTCTCTGCTTTTAGGGTTAGGGTTTAGGGTTTAGGGCCGTTTAGGGTTTAGGGTTTAGGGTTTAGGGTTGCCGGCAGCCTCAGTAGGTGCTTAAAAGGGCTTAGGGTTTAGCGTTTAGGGTTTAGGGGGCGAAAGATGGGCTGGTGAAGCCCTATAGAGCAGCCCTCTTCTGCGGCTTAGGCTGGACCTGCGGAGTTGAAATTCGTGGACTTCAGTTTCCGGATGCCAAGAAAGATTGCAAGGGGAGCCCTAAACCCTAAACCCGATGAAAGCCCTCTCAAGCCCTGGGCACAGGCCTCCTGCAGGCTCGTAGAGGTGGAACTAGTTCAGGGGCTGTCGCGAAGAGAGCCTAACACTGGTTGAAAGTCCGGGGGTAGCAACTACTTTGTACCCTACACCCGAAACCCGAAACTTTTTAGAGATCACATGCAACTCTCTGTGTTTTCTCTTGGTGCTCTCCTGGAGAGGCCACCGCATGCGCCAGCTACCGCTTTGAGGTGCAAGACCGGATTGGGAGTAGGATTTTGGGTTCGGGGTTGCGAAGAAAGTTTTTGGAGAAGAGCCGTGGTTCAGAAAACTCGGAAACCCCTCAACCCCTTGTTCCTCTTCTCCCCCCCCAAAAAGAAGCAGGTAAGCCCCAAAAAGCCCCAAAAGGCCTTAAACCCGATCCCCAAGCTCTTCGCAGCCAAAAAGAAGCCTTGGGTAGAAATCCTGAGAGGCCGCCCATGCCGACTGCTGGCGCCGGGGTACCCCCTATGAGTGCTGCAACGGCCAAGGCCGCTAGGGTTGAGGGTGTAGGGTTTAGGGTTTCAGCTTAGGGTTTAGGGTGAGGCTAGCTTCACAGCTGACTGGGTTTCATGAGGGCTTGAAGGGGTCTCCCGGTCCGGCCTCAGTCCATACATCAGACAGGGGCCTTTTAGGGCTAAAACCCTCAAACCCTATAGCCCTAAACCAGAACCCCCCCCCCCCCCCCCCCACGACAAGCTGGATCCCAGGTTGTTGGGACGACTTCTGGACCTTCGAGCGCTGCTGCCTGAGCGAGGCCACCAGGAGGGGAACTTGGGCTCGGGGGGCAGAAGGAGCCAAACCCTCCTAAACCCTCCTAAACCCTGAACCCTCCTAAACCCTAAACCCTAAACCCTAAACCCTAAACCCTAAACCCTAAACCCTAAACCCTAAACCCTAAACCCTAAACCCTAAACCCTAAACCCTAAACCCTAAACCCTAAACCCTAAACCCTAAACCCTACCCCCTAAACCCTAAACCCTTTTCAGGAAGGCCCTGAACCCCAAACCCTGGAAAATCTACAAGTCATCCTCGGCCCTTTGCTTTTGTCGTATGGATTCTCAGGGCCAAGATTACCTACCGTGGGTTCACCTGCAGACTTTTTCTGTTGATGCTTCTAGTAGTAGTAGTAGTAGTAGTAGTAGTAGTAGTAGTAGTAGTAGTAGTAGTAGTAGTAGTAGTAGTAGTAGTAGTAGTAGTAGTAGTAGTAGCAGAGTAGGTAACCTTGAACCTTTTTGGGGTAGTATAATCCCCTTATAATCCCAAAGCTTAACCTTTAATTCCCCCAGGTTACTGGACAACTAGCTTGAAGCTTCTGAGATGGAGGTTGTGTCGCAGGAGCCTACAGGTTGCTGGCAGGGACCTTCAACTGAGAAGCCAGGGCAGGGGGATAGGTAGGGTTTAGGCATAGGGTCGAGGCAGCCAAGACAGTGGAGTCAACTACGTTTGGGCTGATTTGAAGAGGGGCCTTAATCCCAGACCATTGCGCGGATCCAGAAAGTAGAACCTTTCCCCAAGAAAAAGTACCCTGCACTACTCTTGGGTCATTCTCAGGAACCCTGAAAGGGATCTACTTTTTGGATCCTCCCAGGGGTTTGGAATTTCGGAAGTCAGACTTTCTCGAAGATCCGCAACGGCTGGATCAACCTTCTCCAGGGTTTGGGGCTTCGGGCCAGAGATTCCAAAGGGGGCCCAGAGCTTGCACGAGTAGGAACAAAGGGGTTTAGGGTTTAGGGTTTAGGGCTTAGGGCTTAGGGTTTAGGGTTAGGGTTAGGGTTTAGGGTTTAGGGTTCAGGGTTTAGGGTTTAGGGTTTAGGGTTTAGTGCAATGCAGGTGGGATCTCAGCGAGCGGGCAAAGTCTCGTGGAAAGGGATAGGTTTAGTGGCTGGTTTAGTAGCTGACATCAAGAGTACAGGCTGGAGAAAGGGTCTTTTTGGGTTTGCAGGGTCTAAGTGAGAAGTCACCAAGAATCTCCAACTAAACGCCACAAAAGAGAGCCAATCTAGCAATCATCCTTCGCTGCAGCCCGAACCAAATGGAAAACCCTAAACCCTAAGCCCGCGAACATACCTTCAAGCCTCGACCCTTACTTTGCCAAGTGGCATGCGAAGTATCAGAACGAGGGGCAATCTGGCAGCCCAATATACTTCGGAACCCTCACGTTTACGTGCTCGCTAAACCCTAAACCCTAAACCTTAAACCCTAAACCCTAAACCCTAAACCCTAACCCTAAACCCAAGCTGAGGCCCACAGTTCAGAGTCAACTCCAGTGCAGGTGGAGCTTGAGGAGGTCCCAGACAACCTTTGCTTGGGCGGGCCAGTGCGGGCTGCAGAGGACGGGCAAAAACCGAACCCTACTGGAAGATTTTTAGGGTTTAGGGTTTACGGGTTTCGGGCACGTGAGAGACCTCGTTGAATTAGGGTTTAAGGGTTTACGGTTTAGGGAGGGTGTAGTTATAAGTGGAGTTCTAAGTATCCTAAATAGGGCTATAAGTAAGTTACCATACTTGTAACTATGCATGTGGCTACCTATGAGTAGAGCCCACAGGGCCCGAAAAGCCCTTAATGAAGGAATGCTTCTCTAGCAACAACAGTGAGTGGTAATTGTAGTAGTTCGAAAATTCTGGAGTATGCCTTCTTTAAGGGGAGTCGGGCTCTTCCTCTTTTGCAGGTCGGGTTTTCAGAGCCGGCGATAGCAGTGATAGCAGGCCTGGATGTGTAGACCGTTCTGCCAAGTAGCGCCTTGGTTTAGTTGGTTGTTGCGGAAGGCGATTTGAGGTCGGTTTTGCTTGTATACGACGTACCGTAGGGAGTTGTATGTAGCTTTAGCTACAGTACAGACATGGCTATCCATGAAAAGACACACCGAGCCTTACCCAGACACCCTGGTGGAATTTAGATGAATTCTCTAATTCTTTACTTCTTCTCTACTTGTCGAACAATAAACACTTGAGGTCCTCGCTTCCGAGCCCGTTCGAGTGCATGATGCATCCCTTGCCTTCGAGTTTCCCCCTCCGGGTTCTTGTGCACGTCTTCCTAAAGGTTTGAGAAGCCAGTGGACGTTTGGCTTGCCCGTTAATCTCGGACAAGCAGCCAGAATCCCCAGCAAGAGGCAAGGAAGATAGGTTCCTCTAATTCATCGCCCTTGGGCCTCTCTCACAAAAAAAATCCTATTAACCCTATGAACCCTCTCACCAAAAAAAACCCTCAACCCTAACCCCAACTTCCTAAACACTTGAGTTGAGTCCTTCGAGGCTCCGTTTCACTCCTGTGCCAGCCAGGAGTTGATCCTGGAGCAGCCCTCGGAGGCAAGCAGCCTTCCAGCCGAATGCACCAGGAGCTAGGGTTTAGGGTTTAGGGTTTAGGGTTTAGGGTTTAGGGTCTAGGGTTTAGGGTTTAGGGTTTAGGGTTTAGGGTTTAGGGTTTAGGGGCTGAAGAAGCCCCCCCCCCCTGAAGGTCGCATCAAAGTGCAGACCTGAACAGGAAGAAAGAAGCCCTTCCATCCAGGCCCCACGTGGAAAGCCCTAAGCCCAAAGCCGCAAGCCCTGATTCCCTGTGTGCAAAGAGTGCTTTGCAGAAACCCGAAGCCCTAAACCCTCAACCTGCCTACAGGCTGAGCCCTTTGTCTTCCTCTGGGACGAGAAGTGCGGCTTTCCCTTAAAACAATGAGGGCTTTGGACCTTACAGGGTTCTCGTGAGTTCAAGGAGTATGGAATGCGCTACCCTAAGAGGGTTATAACAAGTTGTTTAGCAAAGAATGCAGGGTTTAGGGTTGAGGGTTTAGGGTTTCGGGTTGGTAGCTTACTCTAACCGGGTCCTCCAAGTCAGCCAAAGCCTCTTAGACCTTGCTTCAGAGGTTGGCATCTTTGGTGGGGTCTGAGAAAGGCATGTTCCCTAGTAGTAGAGTAGGTGACCTTGAACCTTTTTGGTGCAATATAGTCCCAGTATCATCCTAAAGGTTGACCTTTAGTTCCCCCAGGTTGCTGGACAACTAAACCCTAAACCCTAAACCCTAAACCCTAAACCCTAAACCCTAAACCCTAAACACTAAACCCTTCACACCCAGAGCCCCCGAGGACAGGCAGATGCCAGTCTGAGCATCCATGGGATCTTCTGCCCCTAAGCCCCCTAGAGCCCAAGACCTTGAAGCAGAAGCCCCAAGCCCCAAAAACAAGCACACGGAAGCCCTTGAGCCCCAAACACAACAAGCAGAAGCCCTTAAACCCTAAACCCCAAACCCTAAACCTTAAACCTTAAACCTTAAACCCTAAACCCTAAACCCTAAACCTTAAACCCTAAACCTTAAACCCTACTGTAAACCGTAAACCCTAAACCCTAAACCCTAAACCCCAACCCCAAACGCCACAAGTAGCGGGCCTCGCAAGCCGGGCCACGGTGGCGGCTTGCGATATTAGGCAGGGGGGGGGGGGGGGGGGGGGGGGGGTTACCTTCTTGGGGTCCTTACGTTTTAAGGGAATCCTACTATTTGGGGATCCTACTATTTTGGGTCCTTATTATAAGGGGAATCCTACTACTTGGGGTCCCTTATTCTCGTAAACATCCAGGTGGCGGCACGACCTTCAACGAGTGGCTGCTGGCGTCGGCGCATGCGCCCTGGACCGCCGTGATGGGCGTTTCCCTACACCCGGGTGCCCCGGATCCACCGGGGCCCCAACAACTACTATTTGCTTAAGAACACCCCAAACAGAATGAAAGACACAAATCCTTGTGTTGCTCTTAGAAGGAAGAATGTTTTAATTTTTCGGTTCTTAAGCAAATAGTAGCAGTACGAGGATCCTTATTACAGGCACCCCGAAAACGGGTACCCGAAATTTTGGGAAGCCTTCCTTCTGCTCTTCGGTTCAGGTGGTGAAGGGGGCATCTGTGGCTAACCTCCGGCTCCCTTGACATAGAAATGGGGTTCAGATGTAGTGGGCTTCTGTCATTACCCCCGGAGATCCGAGCCCTGAGCCCTAAAAGCCGCACTCAGAGTGAGCCCGAGACCCCTCAGTGAAGGAATCTGCCGTAAATGAAAGTACAGGGTTGCTGACTATGAAACGTGAGGTATACAGCTTCAACTACACAACTTAGCTCCAAAGGGTCCCATACCCTAAACGGCGGGGCATGGGACTCCCGGCACCAGAGGGTTTATATAGGGTTTAGGGTTTAGGGTTTAGGGTTAGGGTTGAGGGTTTAGGCTTTAGGGTTTAGGGTTCAGGGTTTAGGGTTTAGGGGCCCAGGACACTGGCCGAATCCAGCGGACCCACATCTCTGACTACGGCTGGCCGCGCCCTGACACCGAGGGGATCACGTTTTGAGTGAGCTTCACTGGGCCCTGAACACCCTAAAATACTTAAACCCCTGAAGCTTTGAGCCGTAAACCCTAAAGCCCTAAAGCTTTAAGCCTTAGACCCTAAAACCCTGACGCCTGGCAACCCTAAACCCTACTGAGAACTTCCGTATACCTCAGCTAACGCTTGTGGAATCCTAAAGGAAAGGTTTGAGGCTTTAGGGTTTAGGGTTTTGGGGAAGTCCAATCAAGGGATTAAAACTAGCACCCTAAGGTTGTGCCCCTAAGAGGTTCGCCTATTCTCCTCACATGGCCCTTATACTACCTCAAGGATCTTTCAACAGGGTCCCTCAAAACCCAAGAATACAACCTTAAGGGTCCAAGCCCTAAACCCTGAACCCCTTACAACCTTAAGGGTCCAAGCCCCAAACCCTAAACCCTACACCCAGAACCCCAAACCCTAAACCTAAACCCCTTAGATCCAAGGAACGTCATTGGCACACCCTTCTTTCTGAAGTCCTACAGTGCGGAGAAGCTTCGTTCGCTGGAGCCGCCTGCCCGTCTTTTTTGTTTGTTTAGGGTTTAGGGTTTAGGGTTTAGGGTTTAGGGTTTAGGGTTTAGGGTTTAGGGTTTAGGGTTTAGGGTTTAGGGTTTAGGGTTTAGGGTTTAGGGTTTAGGGTTTAGGGTTTAATTTAGAGAGGCTTTAGGACGCAGTTGAACCTTAAACTCCTTCGGGCCCCTTACTCTGTACAAAAAGTCAAAGACACATCGCTTTGGGTGCTTTATACCTCGTGGGCGCCTCCGCCATGGCAGAGGAGTGAAATGATGCATGCCAAAGCGCGCCGCGAGCCATCCCAGGTACACCCCTACAAGCTCCAAGCACCGCCCAAAAGCCCTAATCTCCCTAAACCCCTGAAACCCTTAACTTCCCTAAACTCGCCAAACCTTTAAGAACCCAAAACCCCAAAAGACTGTAAAATGCCCTGAACTCCTTGCGCTCTGGGAAAGACCAGGATCCTGTCTGCGAACGTGGACTGGAACATCTTCCCCGCACTGGGCTGCCAAGCGCCGGTCCGCCAGCCCCACTGCTTCATCCTCCTCAGGCTCTGAGTTGCCGGGGGGGGGGGGGCTTGTGGCCCTAAACCCTTAAGATTTTTTGCAACAAAAATAGCTTCATTGTCATCAGGCTCTGAGCTGCAGGGAGGGGAAAAGTGGGGAGGGGGGTGAGGGGGCTTATGGCCCTAAATCCGAGACTCCTGAGCTCTAAACCCTTATGTGCGTGATAGAGAGAGAGAGAGAGTGAGCGTGGAGTGAGGAGATCTGTGAACCGACCGAATCTGCTGCATGCGAGCGCGAGAGCCGAAACCCTGAACCCTAAACCTCGAGCGTGGGGGCGTTGAAACCTGAGAAGAAGGTGGGGCACACTGAGCCGGGGTTTGGGGTTCGGGGTTTGGGGTATAAATTTAACATTTAGCGGCACCTTCGGGCGGACAGGCGGCAGCCTTGTTGCAAGAAGGGTTTAGGGCAAGGGTTTCGGGTGTAAGGGGTGGTCGATGCGAAAGTCGTAAAACTCGGAAGCTTGTGGACCCTGCATTTGCAAGCGGGTAAAGCAGTTTTCCTTTATGGCTTAGAATACTTCTTGGGATGGTTGCAAGGTATGCCCAGAAAGCCTCACAGGAAGCCTCCGAAGCCTCCGAAGACACGGCCCAGCGCAACCGCAACATCACAGGCTTCGTGCATGAACGAATCAGAACGCAAAAATCCATAACCTGGAGTCCCAGGGCTTGAGAACAGTGTGCAAACTGTCACCAGCCCACAATGAAATAGAATTCGTTTCCCCTGTCTATCGCAAGTTACCGGCGTGTGGCATGGGAGGAACCCAATCGACCGGTTCGTCTCCTACTACTTGGAGAGGCCCACGCCTTCAGATCTGAGCAACTATGTAGGCCCCAGGTACATGTTGTGCGTTCCCTTGTCGGGTTTAAGAGGACCATGATTAGGAATATTTTTCAGAGGGGTGAAGTGCCATTCCTAGGCCACAAAAGCCCTTTCGGTTTGCAGGTGGACTTGGAGTAGTACCAAACGGTTCAGGAGCGCTGTCATCATGGCCTAGCATGCATGCGTGAGGAAGGCCAGAGTTTTCTCCTACTCGTTACTACTACTCACTCCTCCCTACACACTATGCACTAGTCACTACTCACCACTACCAGTACCACTACGACTACGACTACGACTATGACTACGACGACTACTAATACGACGACGACTACTACTACCACCACCACCACCACCACGACGGTTACTGTTAGTGAAGCATTGCTATTCCTCAGCCAGATATTCAAATCTCCTCAAACCCTCACCCTCCCCTTGGGAAGGTCAGATCGTCGTCTAGAGGGCGGCCCCCTGGTTCAAGATCATTTGGGGTGCAGGGTTAAGGGTGCAAGATATTTGAGGTTGGGGTTTCGGGTTTGGGATGTAGGGTTTGGGGCTTTTTGAGGGGGCAACAGGGGTGGGGGGAGGTCTCTCTGGGCCTAGGGTTGGGAGGATGGGGAATTGCACAAAAGTCCGACAGTAGCAAGTCGCAAAGTCCGACTGGGGGTCACTTTGTGGGGCTGAGGCTTCCTGTGGGGTTAACACACGTTTTTAAGTGCTGTCTGGGCTTTCAGAAACAGACAACTCGACGTAACTAGCCCGTTCTTGACAACATTGCTTATCTTTGTTGGCCTGCGATAAACACAATCAACTTGAGTGGTGTTTGTCTTTCTGAGAGGCCACAACATAGGCTTTTTGATCTGGTTGAAGAGTCCTCTGACCCCTTATAGGCGTTTTTTCGTGGGCAAATGGTTGTGTATCTCAAGGAACCACGAAAATTATACTTGTTGAGGGGTTCGAAGAGAGGAAAAGCTAAATCGCACCCATGACTGCGAAAACGAACAGGTGTTGGGCGCCTTACATCTGACAGGTTTATCCCATGATAGGCCCTCAGCTCTAAATCCGAAACCCTCAAAACCCTCAGCAGGGTGTAACGTGTTTGGCTTAGGGTCTACATCCGACGGACTAGAGCCATCAGCCCAGGCAGCTCGATCATTCGCTTGCTGTCCCAAGTCCCTATGGAGGACCAAAGAACCCCAGAGAGCTTGACTTGACCCGCAGGGTTTTAAGGAACCCGAAAACCCTGAACCCTCGCTGCTTGCGGGGAGAACGTGGGGAATAAGTTCGGGTCCGAGCCCCAGGTCCAAGAATCTGAAGAGCAGCCGCAGGATTTCAAAGCAAAAGCAATTCCAGAACACCCTAAAATCTTAAACCCCTAAACCCCAAACCCTAAAGCCTAAACCTCGCCGACAGCAAGAGGACTTTGAAGCCTACCTGGAATCGATTCGCTTCGACCGCCTACGGTTCAGCGGGGAGGAGCGCCGAGCTAAGGGCTTGTGGGGTTTAGGGTTCAGGGTTTAGGGTTTACGGCGAGCTCGACCAGGCGGGCTGAGACAAGCCTGTGCAAAAGGGTTTAGGGTTTAGGGCAAAGAAGGGTTTAGGGTTTAGGGGGCTTGGGAGGTTCTCCTAATCCTTGCTTAGCCAACTGTTGAACTGTAAACTTTCTGTGTTTCGTTATCTAGTGGGAGAATACACTTTAGCACATAGCCTAGGACCCGGAGTAGGCCCTTATTTCCTATTTTTAGGGTGGGGGGTTCCCTTCTAACCCTATCAAAACCAAAAAGGATACCTTTTTCATTCCTAGGTTACTCCTAGCAGCAGCTTTAGCCATCTTGAAGCAGGATTGTGCTGTATGATTCTTTGTGCTACCCTGATGCCTTTTAGGCTTAAGATCCCTTGTCAAGCCGATGAAGCAAGAAGGGTTCCCGGTTCTCGTCTAGACTTCTGAAAAACCTCGCACTAACAAAGTCCTACCCTATTTCGCAGACTTTTCGCGTCTGAACTATTTACCTCGTGTGGTGATGGGGGGGCGAGAGCCCGTCGATATCGAGATGAAGAAGAATGACATATGCATCCGGTGAAGATTGTGTTATGGTATGTACGTCAACCTTTTGTCCCCACTCCCCAGCAGCTGTGGCAAAACACACCTCGAAGATCAAACCCAGCAACAAAGCCCATGCCGACTGAAAGTTCATCCATGACCTGGTCATCGCTGTGGGACGTCACGTCTCACGAAATGCCAATCTGTCGTCGCCTTGTCGACTCTTGGGCTCTCATGGTCCCTCACTGGAGTCCATGCTGCCATTAAAAATTGGGCTTAAGACGTTTCACAGGTGCGTATTTCATCTTTTTCGCAGCGGTTTCAAGAGACTACCTTCTTGGAAACCTATGCTACAAGGAAACTTACCAGGACGCAGACCCCAAAAATGGCACTCAGCTAGAGAAAACCCACCCCCAAGTTCACATCCCTCAACAGCCTTCTGATGTCGTCGACATGAGCTCCCCTCCCCCGGCCTGAAACTGGTTCCGCGACTCTTGCGCAGGAGAGCGGCTTGTTTTGCAACCGCGAGAACGGCGAGTTGCTGAGCAGAACTTGCACCTTCTCTTTTGCCTTGTGGAGCCCTGCATGCCTCCTGGACTAGGACGTGGATGTTTAGCAGTACCTTTAGTACGCTTTGAGGCTTGCCACTTGAACTTCCGTCAGCAAGGCTGTAGCTGAGTAGGGAACCTTGAACCTTTTGGGGGGTGAATTGCAAAAAGTGAACTCTTTTTGGCCCGGGGTGCTCAGCAACTAGGTTAGCATTGCTTCGGAACCACCTAAGATTGTGACGATAAAATGCAAACATTCTTCCCAGTAAGGGTAATATGGGGATTATCATTCTCGTTTTTGGGGTGTCTTAAGCAATTCAAAGAGTAGTTTAGGGCTACCCCTCACATGAGAACACTGAGAAGTCAGGCTGTGCCTTGCGCGCGAGGGCGACGTCTCCGCCGATCCTGGCCCCGACTCTGGGGCTCGAAGAGTTCAGGAAGTACACCTTATATTGTTATAGGGATCCTTATTATGATTTAAGGGTTTAGGGTTTAGGGTTTCTGATTTAAGGGATATTCCTTCAGGGGTGTTGGGCTCAACAGCTTCAGGCCCTGCTCACGTAGGAGGGGCGTGTGAGTTCGTGGAGACTGAGTAGACCCTGAACCCAAACTCCACAACCCTAAGCCCTACTGAGCCTAAAGTCCTGAGCCCCATGCCTTGCCAATACCCCCCAAAATCCGAAGCCCTCAACCCCAAAGCCCTAAACCCTAAACCCTAGCCCTAAACCCTAAATCCCAAGCCCTACACCCTAAGTCTTGCGGCAGCTCCAGGAAACCTTGGGCTTCCGCAGCCACGGCGGGCCCCAGAATCGCTTGGCGCGGATGTCACCTGCCGAAAGTTTCGAGGTTTGGGGGTTTAGGGTTTGGGGGGTTTTAGGGTTTAGGATTTAGGGTTTGGGGGTTTTCGGGTTTAGGATTTTGGGTTTGGGGGTTTTTAGGCTTAAGGATTTGGGTTTAGATTTATTGTTTAGGATTTAGGGTTTGGGGGTTTTGGGGTTTAGGATTTGGGGTTTAGGATTTAGGGTTTGGGGGTTTTAGGGTTTAGGATTTGGGTTTAGGATTTAGGGTTTAGGATTTAGGGTTTGGGGGTTTTAGGGTTTTCGGGGCTTCGAGGGGTTTTAGCGTTGTTTTGGGATCTTAGGGCTTTTCTGGGTTTGAGGGGTTTGAGGGGTTTTCGGGTTTTCGAGCTTAGGGCTTGAGGGTTGAGGGGTTTTAGGATTTTGGGGTTTTAGGGTTGAGTTCAGGGTGCTGGGCCTTTTGAATGTCTTAGGGTTCAGGGTATAGAGGCATGGTTGCAGAAGGGTTCAGGGTTTGGGACTTTGAGTTGAGGGTTTTGAGTCTTCTGCTATTTGCTTAAGAACCCCCGCCAAAACAAAATACTCAGCCTTATGAGGGCAAGATAGGGATTGTTATCTTTCATGTTCAGGGCAGCTCTTATGCAAATGGGCTCTTATGCAAACGGGTTTCAGGGTTTTGGATTCAGAGTTACGGGTTTTAGGGTTTTGCGGTTTCAGGGTTTTTGGGTTCTAAGAACCCTAAACCCTAAACCCTAAAACCTCCGCCGGTTTGATGGTCTTTGGGTTTAGGGTTTTAGGATTTGCAGTACTGGCTGTCAGTGATGGTTTGCCAACAGCTCCCCAGCAATCTGAGCCAAAAGGGTTTGGAGTTTAGGGGTATTAGTGTTTTAGGATGTTTTGGTTTCTGGTTTGAGGATTTAGGGTGTAGGGTGTAGGGTAAAAAAGATTGTTCCATCATTTCTAGAAGACCTCGAAACCTGCGCCAAGAACAGCTAAGGTATAGGGTCACAGCATGAAGGTTTTTGGGGTGGCTTGAAGGTGCCGCTGCTGAGCCCGAAATCTCACAAGGCCAACTGAGAGCTTTAGGGAGGGCTTAGGGTTTAGAGCTTAGGGTATGGGTCTCTCTCTCTCTCCCTCTTTCTCGCTGCCCGAGGCTTCCCCAAAAGGTAGCTGGAAGGTGCTAAGACCCCGACGGCAACTCCATGTTGAGGTTGGACCCCCCCTTTGGCCGGCTGGAGGTGGCGAAAGCACGGCTGTCGCGCTGTGTGGTGAGTTTGCAGAATGCCACTGGGACTGTGCTTGCGGATTTTGAACTCTGCTCGGATCGCACGGGGACCCTGCAACCGGACCCGGACCCTAAACCCCAAGCCTCAAAGATCCCCAAGTAGTCGAGCCTAATTAAGGAGTCTTACCTGGCACCCGCTGGTGAGACTTGAAGCCCTGAGAAGATTAGGGAGGAGTTCCAGTCTCAGGAAGACTTCGAGAACCACCTCATCGTTCTGCGTGCCTTCTACCCCTGGATAAAGCGGGTGAAGCTTCTGGGGCCTTAGACAAATGGAACAAGGTTTTTGAAGCAAAGACCCAGAGTGGGCCCGTATTCCTATTTTAGGTTTGAGGTTGCCCTGCAAGCCACTTGAACCCAAGAAAGCACCGAGCACCCTTAGTTGAGGTGCATTCTGGCGAAAGCCCAACCCCTCAAGTTGTTCTTCACGGAAACCCACTGCCCCCGGACTACAGGGTTGAGGGGCCCCTCAGTCGTCCACTGTATGCTTAAGAAGAAAACATGGCGATGTTCTTCCTTATAAGGGTAATGTAGGGATCGCTATCCTGTTCTCTTTTTGTTCCCGGGGGGGGGGGGGGTCCTGAAGCAAATACCTAGACCCTAAACCCCACCGCCCCCGAAAGCTGCAGCGAGTGCCAGGGTCGAAACCCTGGTGGGGTTCTTAAGCAAATGCTGGGTTTTTGGAGTACTAGACTTTAATACTTTTTTTTTGGTTCTGGGTTCCTACTATAGCTACTTATACCTGAAAACCCTAAACCCCGAACCCTAAACCATAAACCCTAAACCCTAAACCCTAAACCCTAAACCCTAAACCCTAAACCCTCTACTCCAAAGCAGGGAAGGGTCGTCTTGAAGTTCCGGGTGTTGAGGAAAAGCCTTCCGGCCTCCGCACCGACTCGGAAGTCTGAAGGGCGACTGAGGTAAGTTTAAAATGGGCAAAGCACCAAACAGCAGGGGTTTGGGGCTTCGGGTTTTGGGGTTTAGGGGTTAGGGGGTTCAGGGTTTAGGGTTTAGGGTTTAGGGTTTAGGGTCTAGGGTCTAGGGTGTAGGGTCTAGGGTCTAGGGTCTGGTGCGGGATTGTTGGCACCTCTGGGGATCTAAGGTTCGCGGAGGGCGAGGAGACCCAGAACATCTACCACACCAAGGCACAACCCAAAACCCTAAACCCAAAGTCTAAACCCTAAACCCTCAGCCTGAGCCCTGAGCCCTACCCAAACGTTTCGGGCGCCTGTGCCTCTTCTACTTGTTCGCCCTGTAGTACACGTCTGCTCTTTGTCTTGGTTTTAGGTTCCCTTGCAAAGTCACCAACACCAGAAAGGGTACCCTGATTGTACAAAGTTAGTGGGCTACCAAGTCTGTGTGTGGCTACCTCAAGCCGCGCAATCGCAGGCGTTGGGCTGCCAGCTTTGCAGTGTTGTAGGCTATGGGTTTAGGGTGTAGTGTTTTATCATGGACTCGTTCTAAATGGTCCGTTTTCACCTACTTGTGCTTCCGCGCGCGCCGCGCGTAAGCGCAAGTCCACCAAGATTCCTCGTTCTAAATGGTCCGTTTTCACCTACTTGTGCTTCCGCGCGCTGTGCGCAAGCGCAAGTCAACCAAAATTCCTCACTGTAAAGAGTCTAGACGCTGTTTTCAGCCACTTGGCAAATCCTCAATCCGTACTCCAAAGCTCACTTGTGCTACCGCGCGCGGCGCGGAAGCGCAAGTGACCACATCCATGGCGCAAGTACAGGTTGCCATAGCGCGCACTTGTGCTATGGATGGGGTCGCTTGTGCTACCGCGCGCGGCGCGGAAGCGCAAGTGGGACTTGCAGTACGGGTTCCCAAGTCGATGAAAATCCCATGCACTGTTGCACTGCTTTTAATAAACCACCCCCCACCCCCCTCCCCTCCCCCCGACCCTCTTTAAAGAAATTAGAAGCACCCCAATCTAGGGGGAGCCATCCTCAAGCCTCAGACCCTTGAGGCCCACAGTGGCCATTCTGCTGTTGCCACAAGCTATTTCCACTTTTCGGTCCAGGAAAAGTTGATTTGGCTTGTCGTTTTGATATAGTTCTAGTTCTGGAGTGTTGGTCTTGAGCGTTCAGAGCTCAGCAGCATGATCAGTACTTCTGTGTTCACTCTGCTGTATTGCTGAGAGACCATGCTTTCACCCCTGGAAAACCACAGTGACCATTCTGCTGTTGCCACAAGCTATTTCTACTTCTCGGTCCAGAATAGTTGATTTGGCTTGTCGTTTTGATGTAGTTCTACTTCTGGAGTGTTGTTCTTGAGTGTTCAGAGCTCAGCAACTCTTGCTGTGTTGCTCACTGAGTAACTGTCAAGGCTATGTGTTTTTCGAAAGGCCGTATGGTACCCCAGACGGTAGTTCAACTTTGGACTGACAGAGAAGTGGAATAACCTTATCAAAACCACAAAGACAGCGTCCTACGCCACCAAAATATTTTTGTTTTCCATGTGCCACCATCTTGAGCCCCCCCCCCCCCCCCGCCTGCGCCACATGTGGTTTAAACTTTGATTTGCACAACTACCTTATGTGTGGTTTCCCATGGTCTCCCAATTTGGAACGGGAGGCTTCCCCACCGGAGGCATTTGGGATCTCTATAAAGTAGCCACGAGTGCTAGGGTCTGAGAGTGTTGCTGAGACCTTCCGGCCAGGACATCATCGCCCTGATGCAAAATATCCCTAAATAGCCTGAATAATGGGGCGAAACCGAGGAGGGGTAGTATAGAGGGGGTAGTAGGGGAACCCATAAAGGCTAGGTTTCCCTAAACACTGCATGAAGCAGTGGAGCTGAGGGTTTAAGGTTTCGGTCGTGCTGAGATCAGCCTTCTGGGTGGGCTTGCGACCCAACGCGAAGAAGTCAGAGGCTTTAATCTCAAACCCGAAGTTTCCCCACCTCCGGATGGCTCCGAACCCAACACCTCAAACTTCAGAAGCCTGTACGCCTTTCAACCCTCTGTCTACCAGCTCCCTCCCTTACTTGCCACGTAGGCCAAAACAGCCAAGTCACCAAGTCCCTTCGGCTCAGCGGGCGAGTGCCTTTGCTAGGAGTCGTTCTTCCTGCGCGAGAATCTTCCTGCGCGGTACCGCGAGGCCATCGCGCGCTTCAATGCCGTGGATATGGAGCTGTACCAGGCCTGGGTCGGACGTGCAGGGTTTAGGGTTTGGTGTTTGGGGTTTAGGGCTTGGGGTTTGGGGTTTAGGGTTTAGGGTTAGGGCGTCAGCAGTCCTGGGTTAAAAAGGGTTTAGGGTGTCTAATTCAAAACTGGCAAAAGTAGCAATGGAAAAAACTTTTCCAACAGCAAGTGCGCGAATAAGGACCTGCATGAAGGCTTCCCAGAACCGGGATACCTACTGGGGTTCCTGACAAAGGAATACACTATATTTGGCCTTCATTGCATATAAAGGCCACCCCTATATTATTGCTAAATGTCCACATCGTAGGGCAAAGTTCACAAGCCTCACAAGAAAAAGAGGGGAAGTCTCCAGGTTGTGTGCGTTCCGTGACCTGCTTTTGTAGGAGCCCACTACAGTATAGGGGATAGATAATCCTTAAATTCTATTCGGGATCCCAGCATGAATTATTTTTTCATTTGGGGATATGGGGGTTTCCGAAATTTCGGGGTACCTTCTTCGGGTCCTGATTATACGGGAATCCTACTATTTGGGGGGGTCTTCTTTAGGATTCCCACATTTTCGTAAACCCGAAACCCGAAACCCTAAACCCTATCCCCTAAATCCCCATATTGGTGACTTCAAGACCAGACGTCTGTTGCAGTTCGGCTTGGACCGCTTCTACTGGCAAGTCGCAGAGGCACGGAAGCCGCCGGGCTCACTGGTAGGGGTTATGGGTTTAGGGCTCAGGGTTTGGGGTTTAGGGTTCAGGGTCGAGGGGTTAGAGTCCCGAAACCCTAAATCCATCTTCTTTCAAAAGGGCGCCGTGGACGGGAGTTGGCCCAGATGAAGAGAAGCAGGCTTGTAAGCGTGCAGGCTGTAGGCCTTAGGCTGAGGGTCTTTGGAGGAGTTGAGCAGCGCGCTCGGTTTAGGGTTTAGGGTTTAGGGTTTAGGGTTTAGGATCCTGGCAGCAAGGAGTCCGGTTGCAAAAGGGTTTTGGGTTTTGGGTTTTGGGTTTTGGGGGGAGGGGGCCTTGCTTGTCTTGGCTCCATCCCTATACTAGAATGTCAGCAGCTTGTCTGAGATAATCAAAAAGAGAAAGAACGACCCAAGGTAGCCATTCCCAAAGAGCCCAATATTGCTTAATTAAGGAATATACCTTTAAGGTATATTCCTTAATTAAGCAATATTGGGCTCTTTGGGTTCTAAATTGAAATCGGCCTCTTTGACTTCGCTCACTCAAACTGTAAACGAGCCTGAGGATGCTGACGCTGGCGCCCCCAAGCTACGTCCAGATGCCAGCCACCTGGCAACGAGAGAGAGAACTTGAGATTCAAGGGGGGGCTCAGGGTGTAGGGTTTTTAGGGTTTAGGGTTTAGGTTAGGGTTTAGGGTTTAGGGTTTAGGGAGTGGATCCTTTAGCAAGCCTCATGCCTGCAATGTCCATGTCTACCCCTCTACAGTGGAGTCTTGCCTAAAGTCGCTCTCCACCTCCTCCCTCTTCATAGGATTCCTTTTCTTCCCTTGCAAATCTCAGCCAGTATACCCTAAACCCTCAAAGCCCTCAACCCTTAAACCCTAAAACCCAAAACCCTACAACCCAAAACCCTAAACACAAACCCTAAAACCCAAGACCCTAACACCCAAACCCTAAACCCTATAAGCCCTACACCCACAACCCGAAAGCACCAGTAAGACCAGGTCCTCACCCTCCCCTCCCGGGACTGGGAGTCCAACTGGCCCTTCTTCAAGGCTTGGGAAGAAGTGTTCGTAGTAGGGTTTAGGGTGTTTAGGTTTGGGTTTAGGCTTTAGGGTTTAGGGTTTAGGGTTAAGGGTTTAGGGTCTAGGGTTTAGGGTTTAGGGTCTGGGAGAGACGCCTGGGTTGAAATAGGGTTTAGGGTTCAGGGAGCCGGGGGCTGCCGCTAAGGTTTTCTGTGCAGTCCCTTATGGGGGCGAGACAGGGGATGCATGTTACTCTCAGATAGGGTTTTTGGGTTTAGGATTTGGGAGAGAGGCCTGGTGTCGGGTTTAGGGAGAGTTGGGGTTGGGCCTTTTTGTAGCCATCTGGAGCTTGAACCCGAACCCTGAACACCCCCGCACTCAGCTCTTGCGGCTTATGCTGATCAAACTGTAGTTCTCACATAGACATCAGCCATACATGAACCCGAGAATATAGAGAATAAGATGAGTATCCTATTAGATGTCAAAGCATGATAGATGATATAGAAATATGATAGTACACATAAGATGATGATGCTATATTACCTTTTTACCAGCATATGACACCACAAAAAATCATGGGTTGGGAGGTTTCCCCCTTTAACTAGCAGCCCTTAACAGGGGTAAAAATATGGGGTACGATAATCCCTGTTAAGGACTGCTAGCATAACGGGGAACATCCTAAATCACGGGCTTCGGGCTGCAGGCTGAAAGAATAATCTTGGGGTCGGAATAAGTACTAACAATATTACCTTGTGGTTCCTTTGTAACTATACGATAATGCCCCCCAAACCCCTATTTTAATTATTCAGGCCCCTACCTAGTAGAGTAGGTGACCTTCAACCTTTTTGGCGTAGTATAACCCCCTTATAAGCCTAAAGGTTAGCCTTTAGTTCCCCCAGGTTACTGGACAACAAACCCTAAACCCTAAACCCTAAACCCTAAACCCTAAACCCTAAACCCTAAACCCTAAACCCTAAACCCTAAACCCTAAACCCTAAACCCTAAACCCTAAACCCTGGCCCAGTCAATGGGGGGTGTGTTCGGCCCATCCTTGGGAGATGGCCTGATCGCAGGAGCAGCTTCCCACGGCCTTTCTGATGAGGCGGTTTAGGGTTTGGGGTTTGGGGTTGAGGGTTGAGGGTTGAGGGTTGAGGGTTTAGGGTTTAGGGTTTAGGGTTAGGATTTGGGTCGCACCCTGGTGGTTTAGGGTTTGGGATTTAGGTTGGGATGTTCCCCCTTATGGGGACAGTCCTTCATCGGGGTTCTAAGAGGGATTTCTATAAGCTCAAATAGGCCATTCTTGAAATGCGCATTGTTTTTACAACTATTTATAAGGAACACAAAGCTGGCCAAACTTCTCAATTTAGTTGGCTCTGTTGAACAAGGGCCAATGTTTGAAAGGGTTACCAAGAATGTTGTTCTTGGAGGGTGTAGGATTGGGGCGCTCCTTCGCGGTTTTTGGCTGTCACGGTCTCGTCGGCCTTGTCGGCTTCTGCTGTTTTGGCTGTCACGGTCTCGTCCGCTTCTATACTGGTTTTGGCTGTCACGGTCTCGTCCGCTTCTACTGTTTTGGCTGTCCCGGTCTCGTCCGCTTCTGCTGTTTTTGGCTGTCCTGGTCTCGTCCGCTTCTATACTGGTTTTGGCTGTCACGGTCTTGTCCGCTTCTACTGCTTTTGGCTGTCCCGGTCTCGTCCGCTTGCATACCGGTTTTGGCTGTCACGGTCTCGTCCGCCTGTACTGTTTTCGGCTGTCACGGTCTCGTCCGCTTCTACTGCTTTTGGCTGTCACGGCCTCGTCCGCTTCTACTGTTTTGGCTGTCACGGTCTCGTCCGCTTCTACTGTTTTCGGCTGTCACGGTCTTGTCCGCTTCTAGTGCTTTTGGCTGTGACGGCCTCGTCGGCTTCTACGGTTTTTGGCTGTCACAGTCTCGTCCGCTTCTACTGTTTTTGGCTGTCACGGTCTCGTCCGCTTCTAATGTTTTTGGCTGTCCCGGTCTCGTCCGCTTCTACTGTTTTTGGCTGTCCCGGTCTCGTCCGCTTCTATACTGGTTTTGGCTGTCACGGTCTCGTCCGCTTCTACTGTTTGCGGCTGTCACGGTCTCGTCCGCTTCTACTGCTTTTGGCTGTCACGGCCTCGTCGGCTTCTACTGTTTTTGGCTGTCACGGTCTTGTCCGCTTCTACTGTTTTTGGCTGTCGCGGTCTCGTCCACTTCTACTGTTTTTGGCTGTCACGGTCTCGTCCGCTTCTACTGTCACGGTCTCGCCCGCTTCTTCTGTTTTCGGCTGTCCCGGTCTCGTCCGCTTCTACTGCTTTTGGCTGTCACGGCCTCGTCGGCTTCTACTGTTTTTGGCTGTCACGGTCTCGTCCACTGCTACTGTTTTTGGCTGTCACGGTCTCGTCCACTGCTACTGTTTTTGGCTGTCCCGGTCTCGTCCGCTTCTACTGCTTTTGGCTGTCACGGCCTCGTCGGCTTCTACTGTTTTTGGCTGTCACGGTCTCGCCCGCTTCTACTGTTTTTGCCTGTCACGGTCTCGTCCACTGCTACTGTTTTTGGCTGTCACGGTCTCGTCCGCTTCTTCTGTTTTCGGCTGTCACGGTCTCGTCCGCTTCTCCTGATTTTAGATGTCCCGGTCTCGTCCGCTTCTTCAGTGATTTTGGCTGTCACAGTCTCGTCCGCTTCTACTGTTTTTGGCTGTCACGGTCTCGTCCGCTTCTACTGTTTTTGGCTGTCACGGCCTCGTCGGCTTCTACTGTTTTTGGCTGTCCCGGTCTCGTCTGCTTCTACTGTTTTTGGCTGTCACGTTCTCGTCCGCTTCTGCTGTTTTCGGCTGTCACGGTCTCGTCCGCTTCTACTGTTTTTGGCTGTCACGTCTCGTCCGTTTCTACTAGTTTTGGCTGTCACGGTCTCGTCCGCTTCTACTGTTTTCGGCTGTCACGGTCTCGTCCGCTTCTACTGTTCTCGGCTGTCACGGTCTCGTCCGCTTCTACTGTTTTTGGCTGTCCCGGTCTCGTCCGCTTCTACTGTTTTCGGCTGTCACGGTCTCGTCCGCTTCTACTGTTTTTGGCTGTCACGGTCTCATCCGCTTCTACTGTTTTTTTGCTGTCACGGTCTCGTCCGCTTGTACTGTTTTTCGCTATTTTCTTTGAGGCAGAAAAAACCCCTTCTCGAGACCCGTCCCCTTCCGAACGGAACAGTGCGTTCGGGGGTTCGATACCTTACGTCCCTCGCTTTGTGAAACATTTTTTTCGGGGTTCCTACCTTGCCAAGCTTCAGTTTAATCAGCAAGCCCGTAAACCCCAAACCCTACGTAGTGCAAGGCATCCTCAAGAAAGTCAACCCCTGATCTAAGTGGGGGTTTCCGAAAATAGGGGGTGCCCTTTTGGAGGGGTGCCTTTTGAGGGGATTCGATTCTATTTGGTGTACCCCTATTTTGGGAAATATCCAAGCAGGCGCCTTGCTCGCTGCCGCATCACGAACCTGGTGTCCCAGCGCCTAGGGACTGTTTTGGCCTGGGCTGAGGATTTAGGATCTAGGGGTTTTCGGGTTCAGTCCAGTGGCAACAGAATGGTCTAGCATTTAGGCTTGAAGATCTAGGATTTAGGGTTTAGGGATTTCAGGCGTAGGATTTAGGGCTTAGGGCTCAGAGTCCAGATGAAAAAACTGCTCAGGATGGCTTACTAGGACTCAGAGTAGCACCTTTGTGGTTCCTGGGCTACTCATGGGGTCTAGGAAGCGACCCAGGACGGAGGTGCTGCGGCAAGCAAGAGGTCTGTCGAATGAATCCAAAAAATGGACCCACAAACCCAGGGTTCGGGGTTTGGGGTAACCCTGCACCTCCACCGTAGGGCTTAGGAACCAGCGAGCTGGCGCATCCGCGCTTGGTGTGGTCCGGGCCGCCGTTTGTTGAAAGACTTCGTTGGGTTCTACGCAACAGAGGCGACGCCCTTGCAGCAACAGTTAGCAAGCAGTGAGGCCAACGGCATTGGCTCAAGGAAACAGGTCAAGGGCATCTGGGCAAGGCACCAACAATCCCATCATCAAAAAGTCAGCAAAAAAACATATTAGAACATCAATTCACAAAACAATCCCCTCATCAAAAACAGAAATCCTTACAATACTACCAAAAAATTCGATCACATGCCTCACCCCTGTCACCCCTGAAACCCTGAAGCCACTTCCCGCTCCGCAGCCTCAGGTGCGCTCGGCTGGTGGGCGAGCGCACGCCCGAGGCCATCGACTACAAGCGCCTCGGCAAAAAAGACCGAAGCCCTGGGGGGGGGGGGGGGGCACAAACCCAAAGAGCCCAATGTCCCTTAATTAAGGAAAATGCCTTAAATCATATCAAGGATCCCTATATGATTTAAGGAATATTCCTGAATTAAGCCATATTGGGCTCTTTGGGAATCTGAATTCCCCTCTTCTGTCCTTATAAAGGGCACCTACTCATAAATACACTGTTCAAAGGGTTTTTCGCAACAACTCAGAACCATCAAACCTGAAGTTCCCCAAATCCCCTATAGCCCCTGAGCCGCTCAGGGTTTAGGATCTAGGGTTCAGAAACTCAAGTCCAAGCATTCACCAGTCAAGCAGAATGCCAAGTGACGGAGAAATACCCAGCGCCCCGCAACAGTCGCAAAGTATGCCTCTTCACATCCCAAGCCAGCCTTCCTTCACAAAGGTCAAGGGGCCCTAAAGCCCAAGTCCCAGTGGCCCCTAAATCCTAAAGGCCACTAGACCCGCGGCCCACGAAAGAGTGTGCCCCGCCCGCGAAAGAGCGCGCATTGCACACTACAGGGTGTGCCTTGCCCACGAATTGATGAGGGTTTAGATGTCTCTACAATATACGTAAGAGAGGTTTGGGGTTCAGGTTTACTAGGTAGGCCCTTGGGACATTTTATATTTTCCCTTATTTGGGTTTAAGAGCATCATCTTCAGGAATATGTTTCAGAGGGTTCTAGGGGCCATCCTAGTTTAGGGTCTATGGATGTAAAAGGGGTTGGTTAGATGTCTCTACAATCTACGTAAGAGAGGTTTGGGGTTCAGGTTTAGGGTTTATGGATGTAAAAGGGGTTGGAGCCCTCAAATCCTCACGCCCGAGGTTGCCCCCGGCCTTTGCCGAGCAACTCTGCCGACTGGCCACTGATGTGTACTACGCATCGAGCCCCGTGCTCCGGCTCGGCTTAGGGTTTAGGGTTTAGGGTTTAGGGTTTAGGGTTTAGGGTTTAGGGTTTAGGGTTTAGGGTGGAAGGGTTCGGGTTTAGTGTCAGGTGTTTCGGGTTTGGGGAGGATTCAAACCTTCAGGCGATTGCACAACAAGTCCTGATGCAAAGAAGGGAGGATTGAGGGCTCTTATTGGGTGCGTTTAGGGTTTGAGGGGTTGAGGCGAACAGGGTCTAGGGCTTAGTGTTGAGGTGTTTCAGTGTAGGGCTTGTTTTAGGGGAGATTCAGAGGGCGAGTTAAGTGTCGAGAGGGAAGGAAAGCTTGTCAGTGGCACTCTTTTTGCCCCACTTTGGGGTTTAGGGTCTAGGGTTTAGGGTATAAACCTAAGCAACACCAAAAAAGTGTACCCTGATTATGAGAGAGCGGGGGGAAACAGCCCGCGACGTGGTAAGGCCCTAAAGAGGTCTGCGAACGCTTGTGGACAATACAGAAACAAGGTTTAGGGTTTAGGGTTTGGGGTTTGGGGTTTAGGGTTTAGGGTTTGGGGAGTTTCGGTGACGATACCTCGGTAGCCCAGGGCTACCCTTTGGTGGCTCCTTTTTCGGTTCGAGGGTACCCTTACGAAGCCACCGGCCCCCCCAAGAAAAGGATACCCTCATTAAATTACGGATACTGCGCTACAAAGGTTTAGGGTTTAGGGTTTAGGGTTTGGGGTTTGGGGTTGGGGTTTAGGGTTTAGGGTTTAGGGCATTAGGGCATTAGGGTTTTAGGTTTAGGATCCAGACCCTCAGCTGTCAACGTAACCTTGGGATGCGGACCGGCAAGTGGAAGCACACAGCCCGCTTCTCAAAAAACCAAGAGCAATCGAGGTAGGGCCCCCTGGGACATGTTAGGTTTTCCCTGGCTTATATGGGGGGTGTACGAGAATTTTGGGGGATCCCTACAATAGACCCCAACGAGTAGGATTCCCTGATGATAAGGAATCCAATAATGTACCCTAATCACCATATGTAGGATGTTTTCAGAGGGTGTTAAGGGCCATCCTCGACAGAAAAACAGGAAACCCAACCCCACCCTAAACCCTAAACCCTAAACTCTTCTAAGGACAAGTTCTACTCGCTGGGGTTCCAGGACCTGCTCCAGGAAGTCGGGCAAGGGCACGCTGCGCAATACCAGGACCCTGTGCTGCTCTCCACCATTGCAGTTTGGTTTAGGTTTTGGGGTTTAGGGTATAGGGTTTAGGGTTTAGGGTTTAGGGTCTAGGGTCTAGGGTAAGATTGCAGCAGCAGCTGTTTTGCTGCAGCTGTGCCGCCCGCTCTTCTTTGCACAATCTGGCAAGAATGGCAAACACGGGGACGCCATAAACCTGTCTTAAGTCTACAACGAACAAGCTGCCTGCTGGTTTAGGGTTTGGGGTTTAGGGTTTAGGGTTTAGCTCTTCGGCCACGTGCCCCTCATCCTTGCAACACGATGCCGATATGCAAGACAGCAGCGCGAACAAGCGTTGCATCCGGAGCCCATCTGCGCCGTGCCAGTCCTGATCACGCAGGTCTGATTTGCCATTTGCTTGTAATGTTCTGGATGATGACTTGGTAGCCCAGTGGTGCCCTTTACCCTTCCAAGATGATCTGCGGAAACCCCGGAGAGATACCCCATCCGGCAGAGCCTGCAAAGCATTTGCAAAAACGAGGTGTCTTCAAGATGACGAGATCGGCAGTGCAGATGTTTGCAGCAGACAACCCGCCGCTGCTCAAATGCTTCAAACGGCTCCTGTCTTTCTTCCCGAAGCCAAAGTGCTGAACAAGCTTGGAGTGTTCTCAGCCCTCTATGGAGGCCTCCACATTGGGATGTTCCCCCTTATACTAACACTTGCTAACAGTCTTTCTCAAGCACGCTCTGCCGTCGGGTTTAAGTTGCACTGTGTCCTGGCCGGATTTCAAGCCCCGCTCTGCGCCTGCATGTGCGCGAGCGAACTTGTTGCTTTGCTCGTGTCGACACGAGCTTCCTAAGAAATGGGCTGGTGCATATTGTCCCTCATATGCGTGCAAAAAAGGATCGTCTTTAGCGGCTAGTGGCATCTTCGCACCTACGGTGTGCCTAACAAGCGCCGGTGCTGCAGAAGGTTCAGGGTTTAGGGACCCTAAACCCTAAACCCTAAACCGCATCTTGTTCTGCATGCGGCTCTGCCCAAGGCGAAGGCTAGGCCCGTGTTGGCTCCGATTTATTTACCCAGTGCCTTGAGCCCCACACTCGAGGCCCTTCAGCCCGGCTACTAAAAAAGCTTCAAGGTCGAGTCCCCCTGCCCTAAGAAGCGCAATTGCAGGTCGACCTGTCAACTAAAAAGGCCTCTGTTTTTTTCTGGGGGAGGGGTTGTATGCATACTGTAACGTGATGTAATGTAATGTAATGTAATGTAGTGTAATGTAATGTAATGTAATGCAATGTGTGGAGGGGGTTGGGGGGGAAAGGACGCGGGAGTTAGGGTTTACCCTCTTCCAGCGAAGGAGATCAGCCTGCCCGACTTCAACAGCCTTTGGGAGGACTCGTGGCAAGAGATGCAGCCGGGCTTTCCAGAAGGGGTTTAGGGTTAGGGTTTAGGGTTTAGGGTTTAGGGTTTAGGGTTTAGGGTTTAGGGTTTAGGGTTTAGGGTTTAGGGTTTAGGGTTTAGGGTTTAGGGGCGGTGAGGGCTTTCGGTTTCCGGGTTCATGTCACAAGGTTCGGGAGCTGCCAAGAAGAGGTACTCTTGTGCAGCAAGGTGATTTCTGGGAGAATGAGAAGTGGGGGTGTCCGAAATGAGGGGCACGTACCTTATTCGGGGTGCTTGTTATAAGGGGATCCTCCTACTTTTTGGTGATTTAGGGGGGTCCCCCACTTTTCATAACCTCCGAAGTGGGCTCCATGAACCTAGGGTTTGTCAACATAGCCAACACGTCCCCAATCCAGCACCTTGCAATACCCAGCAAAACCCTGGCAAGACATAGCCAAGACAGGGATGCCCATCTTCTTCCGTACAATCAGTTTTCCGGTTCTCTTAGAAACCCCATCAGCCGAACAGAGTTTTGTGAGCTCGGTTCTCGAAGAAACCCCATCAGCCGAACAGAGTTTTGTGAGCTCGCCAATTCCCTGAGCCCTCGAATCTGTTGTGGAAAGCCTTGGCGTCCGAGGCAGGAGGTCCTTGCCACCAGTGGACTGCCCAAGCCGAGCTGAAGGTAGGGTTTCGGGGTTTTGGCTTAGGGTCCCCACAGTTTGGGGTGCGGATTGGGGGAGCAAAAAGGTGTTGCGTTTTGGGATGCTGACTCAGCATGTGTGGGGGCTACAGTGCTCTTGCAACAGGGTTCTTAAGGGGCCGATGGTTCAAGTTCAAGAGGGAGGGTAAGTAGGGAAGCTATGAGAGTTCTTCCCACCTTGGGAATGCCTTCCCTGTAGTTTAAGTAACCTGATGCAACCCATTGCCCTGAAGGTGCTCCCGGTGATCGCAGCTTGATGAAGTATAACCTCTCGGCCCACGGTGCCACTGCTCACACGCGCCTGGAGTCTCTCCTCGGGAGAGCCCGGGGCTGTGTGCTGCAGCGTGCGACTCCACGCCAGGCTGCAATGGCTTTGCCAAGTGCTACTGCAATCAATACACCGAGCCTAGGTGCCGGCCGAAGCACAAGACCTGTCACGGCCCCGTTGCACATGAAGCTACGGCAGCCAAAGAAGGCTGCCAGTCGTTCTACGATGACTGGTCTATGGTGAGTTGTCCATCTGACCAGAGACGAGGCACACTTCCCTCATGCCGAACCATGCCCTTCGATGCAAGCTGTCGCCCTTGCTGACTACCGACATCACCCTTCCCTTAAAGAGGAACTACCAGGACTTGGACGCGGAACTCCAGCCCCCGCCAACCGTCGCATGAGTGCCTTGCAGGGAGACTCTTGAGGTCCCCTCTGCTTTGCCACACGGCTCAGGACTCTGCGCACACTGGAAAAAGATCGTGGTTTGAGGGCAGCGCGCCATAATGCATGCCCGAAGACGGCGAGCATAATCTAGAGCAACCCCCCGCCTGAGCGCCTGGTTGAACTACCCGGATTCACCCGGTATTCCCTGCCGCTGCAACATGCGTCCTTTGGCGTTTCTTTGGTGCGTTACTGGGTTCCGGCCTGTCTCCCCAATCGTAAAAGTGCCGGCTTGAAAGTTCATACTAACCTCCTTTCCAACCTCAGCTGATGGAGTGCATCGCTATGTTTTCGCAACCATCCAGAATTTCCCGAAGCCCCGGTTTAGGGTTTAGGGTTTAGGGTTTAGGGTTTAGGGTAAGTTTTGGGTTTAGGATACACCCGGAACCAACCCTAGGATCCCCCAGAACTCATGCCGAGGCTGCCCCTCCTAATGCGAAATGGCGAATGCCCCCTCCCAATACAGGACCTTCCCCCAAAGACTGCTTTCCCCCGTGTAGCCTAGACGGCCTAGGGTTTAGGGCTTCGGGTTTCAGATGTGTTCTCGATTCATGTTAAGCGCAGCAGACTTTGGTCCGCTTTGCCCAAGCTGTCCATTCCAAGTGCAATAGGGCCCGAGAGAAGTGCAAGCCCTAAACAGCACAAGCCATTCTCTGCTTGCACCCCTTCTGGCGCGCTCAGGAACGGCTCGCGCCAGCGTTCCACAGTATTGGGCCGCTCCTGCTGCCATTTCAAGATGTCGGGCTTCAGGGGCTTGGCGCTGTCGAGTTCTTGCTATTAACCGTCCTTTAGGGTTTAGCGTTTAGCGTTTAGGGTTTAGGGCTCCGTTCAGAGAGCCGGCGCATTGCGTTTGACAGGGCCCCCTGAGCATGCGAGAGAGCTTAGGGGTTCAAGGTTTTGGGTGCTCTTTCCAATACGACCCCATAAGGAGTGCCGTGTTAAGTTGTGATAGGGATCCACACGGTTAAGGAGCATTCTGCATCTGTATGTTAATTGCATGCTGAGTCTGGGTACCCCACCCAAATTGCAACCTGAAAGCCCATCCGCGCGGAGCCTCGGTTTCTTTGGAGCCTGGCAGCAAAGTGGTACCCCCCTTTGCTTTTTTGGGGTTTCTGCAGTCCCTTGCCAAAGTAGCAGTAGCCCAGGGCCTACCTCGGAACAGGGTGGCCTTTCCGGAATACGGTCACTGTGCTACCATGCCATGTGGAGCTTAAGCTAAGTTGCCATCATTCCAGACTCACCTAAATTAGGCCACGCACATCATTGGTTTAACAATTCCTTGTAAAGTTCAGCCGGGAGACTCCCGGAGCCCTCATTTGCCCTAGTGCACATGAGGATCCCCTACGTTCAGATTTCGATCCCGGGAAGGAACATGTCTCACTTGAAGGCGCTAAATACCCTAAACCCTCTTCAACTGCAGGTGGTCAACTAACCCCCCCAACACACACACACACACACACACACACACACACACACACACACACACACACACACACACACACACACCCTTGGCCGGCTCCACCGCCAGGTACTACCAGTCCCTCGAAGTTCTGAACACGCTGGAGGCCCTAAGAATATGAAAATATAGCAATATACAGTATAGTAGTAGAAGAATTCAAAGCATCAATAAATAAGTATGTATATATATATATAAACGTACATGCATACATGCATACATACACACACATACATACATATTGATATGAGTACGGCTCTGCTAAATCTAAAGTCTTGTGCTCTCTGTGCGCAAAACTGGGGCTCCAGGAGGAATTCATGTCAGGGGCGGCGCTGTAACTTCTTGCGACCCCTTGGGCTTTAGTTGCCTTTCCTCGGATCCTTTTTCTAGGCCCTTGGGATATTCTGTGTTTCCCCCTTGTTGGGTTTAGGACCCCAAACCCTTAGCCAGGATCGTATGTGCTAGGAATGCTTGTTCAGAATGTTTCAGGGCCATCTTAGTTTTGTTTTCCGAGGGGGTACGCTGAAAAGCCGACGGCTAAACGGAAGGCCTTGCCATCATCTAAACCCTAAACCCTAAACCCTAAACCCTAAACCCTAAACCCTAAACCCTAAACCCTAAACCCTAAACCCTAAACCCTTCGCGGGCGTGCAGGAGCACGCCCCAACCGTTCGGGACCCGCACGCCTACGTCCTTTCGGGCATCCGCAAGGTGGCAGCAGAAGGCGGGGACCAGTCTTTTAGGGTTGAGGGTTGAGGGTTTAGGGGTTTGGGAGTTTAGGGTTTGGGGTTTACGTAGGGTTTAGGGTTTAAGGTTCAGGTCTTTGGGTTGAAGGTTTAGGGTTCAGGGATCAGGGTTAGGTTTCAGGGTTCAGGGTTTGTGGACATTGGTCTATACATCTCCTTGGCCCCGAATCCATATGCTACCCTGTGCAACCTGCAGGGATTCAGCCTCGACTGTTCCTCAAAAAAGCACGTGTTTGCATATGATTGCGTGGTTCCTGTGCAGTGTTTGTTTCCGGACGTTCATGTACAAACCCTCAACGCCCAGCGTTGAAAGCTCCTCCCAGTTAGGGGTCTTTATTCCTTCTTTTGACCCCTAAAAGTTAGCCCTAAACCCCAAACCCTAAACCCCAAACTCTTAAACCCCAAACCCTAAACCCCAAACCCTAAACCCCAAACCCCTAAACCCCTAAACCCCTAAAACCCCCTGAACCCCTAAAGGTGGCCACGGGCAGCCTGCCATGCCGGGACCTCTTCAGCCCAGGGCCAGTGGCTTTAGGGATTTCGGGATTTTGGGTTTAGGGTTTTAGGGTTTAGGGTTTTTGGGGTTTTGGAGTTTTGGGGTTTTGGGGCTTTAGGGATTTAGGGTTTTAGGTTTTTGGGTTTTTGGGGATTTCGGCATTTAGGTGCAGGGCTTTTGGGGTTTTAGGGTTCAAAAAGGGTTTGAAGATTTAGGGTTTCCTGGGTTAGGTTTCAGGGTTCTGCCACTACGGCGTGCGAAACGTGCAGAAATGCTGTGGGTGCCTCAAGCGGGCCAATTGCATTACAGCCCCTCCTCAAAAAGAAGGGTTAAGTGTTGAGGCTCAAAAAGAGCAGCAAGGAACCCCTTCTAGAGGGCCCCGCTATTCCCGTCGAGGAACTTCTGAGAATGCCTGACGCCTTCGCTGCCGAGATCTGAAATTATGCAGGGCTCCTGACTAAAACCTGAGATTTAGGGCTTAGTGAGTTTAGGATTTAGGGTTTAGGGTTTAGGGTTTAGGGTTTAGGACCAACCCTGGGAAGATGTTATCTCTTCCTTCTTTGCATTGAAGAGGATCAGATGGGGAAGTCTCTTCCAAACCCCAAACCCCAAGGCCCCAAAACCCCAAACCCCAAACCCAAACCCCAAACCCCAAACCCTAAACCCTAAACCCTAAACCATCGCCGAGGGCGCTGCCGGCTCCGCCGGTTCCGCCGCCACCTCCGGCGGGCAAGGGTGTGGACCCTGGGGGGCTGTCCTGCGGCTTAGGGCGCCCCAAAGGGTTAGGGCTTAGGGCTTAGGGTTTAGGACTAGGATGTAGGGTTTAGGGTTTGGGGTTTAGGGTTCAGGGTTCAGGGATTAGGGTTTAGGATTTTTGGGGCCTAGTTGATCCTGCGGCTGCGGGCGCCCCAAGGATTGGTGGCGGTATTTTTTCCGTGTTTTTCCGTTTTTGTTTGTAGTTTTTTTCCAAAATAGTCTTCGGAGACCCCCCCTTGCCTCAACTCCGACCCCCGCTTAAAAGGGAAAGTTTGCCTCTAAAAACACCCCAAATGAAGGGGGACCCCAGGATCGGCCCCGGGTCCCTATTAAAAATGCGACTTTTTTAGTACTGAGATCGACGGTCCTGGGTGGGCTCTCGTTTTCTGGATTTTTGGACCAAAACGGCCGCCGGAATACTAAATTACGAAGCCGGGTTTTTCTCCGAATACTGAATTCCGAAGCCGGGCTTCCCTCGAATACTAAACTACGAAGCCGGGCTTCCCCCGAATACTAAATTACGAAGCCGGGCTTCCCCCGGAATACTAAATTACGAAGCCGGGCTTCCCCCGAATACTAAATTACGAAGCCGGGCTTCCCCCGGAAGACTAAATTACGAAGCCGGGCTTCCCCCGAATACTAAATTACGAAGCCGGGCTTCCCCCGGAATACTAAATTACGAAGCCGGGCTTCCCCCGAATACTAAATTACGAAGCCGGGCTTCCCCCGAAGACTAAATTACGAAGCCGGGACACGCGTGACGCGCGTCACGCGCGTGATCCTAAATCCTAAATCCAAACCCTAAATCCTAAATC